CAGACTAGCCCAGAGGGAACTGAGAGAAAACCAAAGAAAAGTGCTTTAGAAGGAAATAGGAACAAAAAATACCATTGACCTTAGTGCTTTAATAAATTATTTTCCTTCATTTTGGCACATTATGGTAGCAACCAGCAAGAGAAACAGACTACAGCCTAAAAAGTGCAGATAAATAGATTATCTCACATGTCACTGTATATCTTACATGCAAAACTATCTGTAAATATTTAGATAATGTAAATTCAAATGTTTATGGACCAATTCTTTTTCTTGTACCTTGTGCACATTGTGACAATGAGGGACAGTAGCTAACTTTTAGATTATTCAGGCAAGAGGTTGTTTCTTTGCTTAAAAGGGAGTAAAATTGAAGTTAATTCTGATACTAAGTTCTATTAATGCACTTATGTATCACCTTGTCAGTGTAAAGCATATTTGAAATCAGTGAAAATACACACTGTTAATTTTTGGACAGTTCTGTACTCTGCTAAGGTGAATGAAAATCAAATCTCCTCAAGTCAAAGGAGTTTCTCTCTTTTCTAGGGAAAAGTGCTCAGAAAGGGAGATGGGTAGGTGACAGAGCTAAGCAGAACGTCCTGCTAAATTATTCAAAAGCTACAACATATACCTAGCTCTTGGTATGTGTTGTTTGGTATGAGCTGCTGTTTTATGTGAATACTTGACTACTTATTTTCTAATATTTGGTTAATTTTTCATAAATCCTGTCAATGTTATTAAGCATCTGTAGTTAGCAGTAAATATTATTGTCTTTAAAGGTCTCGGTACTTATGAGTTCTCTGTGGACCTGTTTTGGAGCTTAGCTGTTTGGCTGCTTGTCATAATGACATAAGAAAATAATGAGCAGAATTAATTTATGTCTTTATGTTCTGGCCTCAGTGGAGTTAGACTAAAAGATGTTTTGGTCGGATGGGTTTCAGATAAGCATTCAGGATGGGCCCTTTGTTTGAGTGACCATAGGAGCTCAGCACAGTGGAACAATGATTTATTTAACTAAGGTAATAATTTGCATGTTTGAGAGATCACAGCTGCTAAAATGCATTCTTCACTGTTTTGTGATACTTACCTATGTACAGAGGTACCATTAACATTGAGATTAAATTAAGGATGTTCAGATGTGTAGGAGGGCCTCTGGTTCTTGGTACACTTCTGGCTTTGTATTTGAGTACAGTACTGCCCATGATCTGGGGTCTAGTCAAGCTCCACTCCGTCATGCATTCATTTTTTTTTCCATCAGCATGAAAATGTGAAGCAGAAGAAGGCCTTATACATGTTTAAGTACCTTCCCTTAATGCTTTGACATGGCACCGTGGTCTTCAGAGTATGAAGAAAGCATGGAGTGTCAGTGGGAGAGGGCAGAGGAGTATAACAAATCCAGGGGGATCTGGTTCGTAAGGGTCCATACTCTGCCCTGACTTACATCTGTGCATCTTCCATTGACTTCAGTAGGCACTTCTTGCAGTTATCTCATCATGTGACTGCAAGTTTCAGGTGCAAAAATTATACATTCTTCTGGAGCTAAGCATCATTTACAAGATGCAAATAGAGGTACAAATCCAGCACAAGGAAGATGTCTCAGTCCATAAGACAAAAAATTAATTTCCATGACTCTGAGATAAAAAGATTTTCCTCTTCTAGTAATTGGAAAAAAATTTTCTGTTGCAAAATTCAGATTTTGTCATGTGCTACACAAGAAGCTTCTCTTATCCTTCACAGAAGCTTTATATTTCACTAGTTTTTCTCTTCCTCTCTGCCCACAACATAGTCAAAAGCCTGGAACAATACTGCCTCTCTGGTCCAGTGATAAATATGTCATTGTTGAAAAGCAGTGCTAACTCCTTTGTGGTACCATTTTTCATGTTCTAATAGTCATCTGTCATCACTTTTTGTAACATGAGTACACAGTTACTGTATTTTCCTCCTGTTTTTTTCTTATAAAAGCCCATATTTATCAGAATTTCAGTCCATGCTGAAGATTACCATCTTGAAGAGATGGAGAGTGTGAAAAGTGGAAAAGGTTCAGGAAACCAATCTAAGATTAGCCCAAAGTAAAATCATCAAGTACTTCTGTTTACTGATCCATTTCAGTTCCACCCAGTAATAACTGTGAGCAAGAAGTACCAGTGAGCAAGATGCCAAGGTTTTCTTTTGAATTAGTTTCAGCTGTCCATATTTCAGAGTTTCTGAGGAGTATATAATTAACCTGTAGTGAAGAATAGGTCAAAACAAGTTATATATTCATGTTTGGAATGCAAGTGAAACTAGTTGTAATCCTCAGTTGCAAAGTTTGAATCCCAAGTTCCTTGGGGTTTTGGCGCATTTCCACCAGTGATTTCACAGCTTTGGGGCCCATGTGCATGAGAACTGCAGACACTGTCTCATCTTTCTTGTAATTCCTCAAGTTGTGCACATTATCCCCTGGCTAATCCCTGTGTATCTCTGATACTTGCATGGATAGGTCTTCAAGAAGAAGGCAAGCTTCACACTTGAGCTGTCAGAATGTGCACTGTTATTCTTCGTTATTTCACTGTCAGCAGCACATTTTGTTGTGACCACTGCTGTGAAATATTTTTAGAGTTGCAGAATAAAGATTACAACACTTGGAGGGGTTTTCCCCCTTAAAAAAAAAGAAAATATTTTCTAATGCATTTTCAAGTGGTGCTATTTTTTTAACCATTGAGTGTATTGGAAAGAAATGCAATATCTATTTGAAAGGGAAAATTGTAGAAATATATGCATCAAAATTACTGGATTCTTATTACAAGTCTAATAACTTTCTGTTGAAAAACTTTACAAATATAACAAGTAGTACAATAAAAAAAGAAAAGGTTTGCTTCATTGGGAATGGCTCAGTACTGAGAACACTGAAACTTCATATATCTTTTCAGACCTGTTTGAGGTCTGTAAACCTCAGTCTACTGTTGTAGAGGAAGATTTTCTAAAACCTTGTCCTAATCTGGCATAAGACTAGATCTCAAAAAGTATAATTTTCTTGATAATTATTATTTTGTTCTTTACCTATTTCTCATATTTACATATCCTTACCTTTTAGGGGGAATGTTTGATTCATAGTAGTATTTTTAATTTTTTTAATTAATTTTGATATTTTGTATATTGCTAACAATTTCTCGGCTATTGAGAAAATAAGAGGCATGACTTTTGCAGTCCTTCACTCATGTGTGTATCACTTTCTATTGGGTTTGCATGGCCTGCTTTTGGTAGCAGGGGAGGAGAAGGGGTGGCTTCTGTGAGAAGCTGCTGGAAGCTTCTACCATGTCCCCCAGAGCCAAGCCCTGCCAGCTCCAAAGATGAATGTGCTGCTGGCCAAGGCCGGGACACTCAAGAATGGTGATATTGCCTCTGGGATAACAAATTAAAGAAAAAAAAAAAAAAACCAAAAAAAAAACAACCCTTATTGCACAGATATAACTGTGGCCAGAGAAGAGTGGGGTAAGAACATGCAAGAACAGCTTTGCTGACACCGAGGTCAGTGGAGAAGGAGGAGAAGGAGGTTCTCCAGCCATTGGAGCTGAGATTCCTCCACAGCCAGTGTTGATGACCACGGTGAGGTCCTGCAGCCCATGGGGACCCACTGGGGTGCAGAGATACACCTGCAGCCCATGGAGGAGCCCCATGCCAGGGCAGGTGCACCTTGAGAGGAGACTGTGAGCCTGTGGGAGCCTCGTGGAGAGAGGGGCCCTGTTCCCATGGTGAGGCAGCCTGTCCTTGAAGGACTGCACCCTGTGTAAGAGGGACCCATGCTGCAACACTTGGAGGGGCACAGTTGCCCATGGGAGGGACTCATGCTACAGCAGTTTTGGGGAGACTGTGTGCCCGTGGGAGGGATTCACGTTGCAGCAGTTTTGGCAGGAATGCTGCTCGTGGGATGGAGCCACACTGGAGAAGTTCACTGAGGACTGTCTCCTGTGGGAGGAATTCCTTGGTGAAGCAGGGGAGGACTCCTCTCCCTGAGCAGTGGAAGAAGCCTTGGGCGATGAACTGACCACAGCCTCCATGCCCATTCTCTTAGCACCGCTGGGGTAGGAGAGAAGGGTGGCAGGAAGGTGTTCTTAAGCACTTACTGTACTTCTCATTATCCTGCTCTTTGTTAGTAATAAATTTAACTGATATCCCCAAGTTGAGCCTGTTTTTCCCATGATGGAATTTGATGAACCATTTCTCCCGGTCTGTATTTTAACCCATGAGCCCTTCATTAAATTTTCTCTCTCCTGTCCAGCTGCAGAGGGGAGTGAGTGAGCAGCTTTGGTGGGTGCCTGGCATCCAGCCAGCATCAACACGCTTCCTCAAATACAAACAAGAGCTATTAAAAAGCTTTTTCCTCTAAGCATTGCCAATTCAATGAAACCATAGTTTTCTAACTAATTTTCAGTGGCAATTGTTCAAGTCTCATTATAACCAAGTTAAAAGTATTTTCTTGACATCAGCATTCTGATTATATTAAAATGTTAATGTTGAAATTAAATGTTTTCAAAAGATTAGGCAAAATGTTATTGAATGCTTTCTTTTGCAAATTAATCCTAATTTTTTAAACTACTATCTTCAGCTGGAATTAAATAAGGTATTAAAATCTACATTTTCCTGCAAATAAAAACTTTGTTCTTCAGCTGTCTCTTCTACTTAAGTAAACAGCCATGATCTTTGGGGAAACTGAATTTTCTAGCTCCATACCAGTAGCTGAGTCCTTGAAACATTTGGGATGATATGTCCAGTGAATTAATTCTGATTGTATCTCTACAATTTGAGAAATAACTACAAAAAATACTGTGATGGCTATAACTTTAGAAGGAAACATCACTGCCATTTCAGAGACTTCTTTGGAGCAGTAAATATGCAGTGTTTATGAAATGTGGGAGGTGGTGGAATATGCGTCAGATTCCCCAGTTATATATGGTGGAAGTAATCCAGACTTTCCCTTTTGGCATCTTGTGCTATAACTTCTACTTGATTTTCACTTTTTATTCTAGTGCCAACAATATGCCTAAGCAAGTAGAAGTTCGGATGCATGAAAGTCATTTAAATCCAGTGGAGCACAGATCCAGGAACATATGTGTGCAGTTCTGCCAGTCCCTCCACAGGAATCTGCTCCTGACTCTTACTGTGTTTGGTAAGCTACATCTGCTGCTCTGGACACTCTGTGTGTATCTGCATTTGTTCCTGTGGCACCACAGCCCCTGTCTGTGGTCTTCAGCTGTTCCAGCTGAACAGCCAGAGAGTAGATAGGATGCCTATGGGCACTGCTTGTGTAGTTCAGGTGAGCAGGGTATTCCTGACACAACACAGAGCAAATCCACACCACTGAGGTATCTGGTTTGGAAAGGAGTATGATTTAAACTCCAAGGCCAGTCAGGTCAGTGTCATCCAGTAGAACTGAAAGCACTACATGTTTTTCTGTCAGTGATTTGGAAAAAAAATTAAAAAAGACAAAAACTTCAACATTTTTTTTTTAGCTCTCAGTTTACACTTCACTGGTTTTAAGGTTTGTCTTCCCTTTCTGTAGCTGTAAGCCAGCGCTCCATGATCTCATCCTGAATATTGCCTCTGGCTTTAGCAGCTTCCATATACGGAGCAGTTTGACATTTTATTGTGGTTCACTGGCTCTTTGCCTGTTTCTTTTTCTCTGAAAGCCCAACAGCCATATGCAGCAAATTTGTAGACATACTCTTGTTATTGTTTGAAAAAACAGCTGCAACTGCTCTTGAGCTGCAAATTTCATCCCCATATTTTCAGGCTGCAAAACCCCACACTGCTGAAGTGCTTGCCTTGAATCACCTTTCAAAGGTGTACCTGATGCTGCCCAAGAAGAAAGTTTTAAATACACATTTTTTTTTCATTGTATCAAAGAGGTACTTCATAGTCATAGTTGCTGCAAATCATGACAGAAGCTTTGCTATCAGGTTTTATTATGCTTGGACTTGGGATCAGGATAAAAGGGCATTCTGGATGTAAACATAAAATACCTGTTCACAAAGATCATGTTATGAAAGTAGACATGACATTTTTTCCCTAATCTATGCTTTAACAGCGTCAATCCTGAGCAGGAGGTTAAAGTTTTATCCCTTTATCCACATAAATGACGAGGGGTTTGTTTGAGGTTTGAGAATATCAGCACAGGAGAAGGATGCAAAGCATCATAAACAGGAATAAGACATGAGCTCTAAGAATCAAGTTTTCTTCAAAGATATGTGCAGTACTCCACATCAGACAGTTCCTTTCAATTCCCACCTGCTCCTTTTTATGTTCTTCTTCCAGGTGTTATCCTGGGTGCAGTGTGTGGGGGTCTTCTTCGCCTAGCAACACCTATTGACCCTGACATCATCATGTTAATAGCCTTCCCAGGAGATATACTTATGCGGATGCTAAAAATGCTGATCCTCCCTTTAATTATCTCCAGTTTAATCACAGGTAAGATCCATTAGCCATAAATACTTTAAGATGCTTTCTACAGCTATCACCTGGTTTGCTTTTTGTGATGTAGGAAGAATAATGGTGTGATCCTGTCAGCATTTCGCAGTTGCAGTGAGTATTTCAGAGTAAATTTCTTAATAACTTGGTTGGCTTTAACACGTATATGCTCCAGTGAATTTATTTCCAAACACATGTGCACATGCTACTATCAGAAATTTCTTTATGTGCTGTTTGATTTAACTTCTGGATTAGACCTTGCAAATAAAATGGCAGGACACTAGTGAGCCTACCCTTCTTGAAGGTGTGGTGTCAGTCAGACCGAGACCAGTTTGCAAAAGTCAAGGGCAAAAGATGGTAGAGATCTTCTCTATTTTTCAATGCTTCCTCTGCAATTAGATGGAGTTTTAAATGCTTCTCTTCAAATTATTAGCAGTAGACACTGCACACATAAGAACTAGAGGGAGAAGCATCAGTAATCTGTCTCATGGTGAGAATATCACAGGGATGAAAGGCACCCAGAGGTAGTCATTAAATGTTGAAAATTATGGAGGATTTTATTTTATAATTATTTAAGTGGATATTGAGTGTCAATATACTTGCTTGTATCTTAAACACCTGCAGGACTGTCTGGATTAGATGCTAAAGCAAGTGGCCGCCTGGGGACAAGAGCCATGGTCTACTACATGTCCACCACTATTATTGCTGCTGTGCTGGGCGTGATTCTGGTCTTAGCCATCCATCCAGGGAATCCAAAACTCAAGAAACAGCTTGGTCAAGGGAAGAAGAATGATGAAGTATCTAGTCTGGATGCTTTCTTGGATTTGATCCGAAACTTGTTCCCTGAAAATCTGGTTCAAGCATGCTTTCAGCAGGTAAGTCCTGCTCCTTGGTAATACCCTTTACATCTTGTCAGGGTTGTCTGTTGAGTTAATGTCATTGTTTAGGTTAATCAGAGAGATGATGATACAAAGAGGAATACAGGTCTAAGGTCTTGAGCAGGTAAATGAAGCAACATTATTTATAGCTGCCTTGGTTTATGTTGTAGTTACTATTTAAATTCATGCGACTGTTTTTTATGAAGTTTATTTTAATTTTGTTATTAAGTAATCTCTAATTTTCTCCATGCTTTTCATATAGTATCTATGGTCATGGACGCTGGCTTGGTCTTTCACTCAGGTTGAATTTTAACTTGGCTGTTAATTACAGAGATGATTGTTCTGCAATGCTCTGTTTGGAATATATGGACGATCATCATTCCAGCTCGTTGCCAAAGATGTACCCCAAAACCCAACCTCTCATAACCTCTGTTGCTGTGTTAGAGTCTAGATGAGGTGGGGATAATAGATCCAAAGGGCTGATGCACCTACAGGTGGCTCCATCTCACCAGCTTTGGAGCATGCGGGGAAGGAAGGGTGCTTGCACAATGTGTTGCTTGCTCTGTAGGGGGTTAATTTTGCCTGAAATTTTTTCACCAGTACTTAATCAAAACACGTTGACTTTAAGAGGTAAATATGCTTAAGCATATTTCTTGTATGTAAGCTGCTTTTCCCTCCAACTGAATTGTTTGAAAGTAATGCAGACAGGGTTTTCTGGGGGCTGGGTTGGTTTTGGGTTTTTTTTGATGTAACAGGATTTGTTGCCAAACCAGTTCTTAAGTGTTCCTGTGTGAAATGGCATGATAGCTGGTGCTGTGGTTATAGCCAGAGAAAAAAGAAGTGAGAAGAGGGGGAAGGGAGAAGAGGCCATGGGAGAGTGGAAGAATGAAGGGTGACCTAAACTGCCAAAAGGGCTTGGATTGCTTCACTTTTTACATGGACTTCCACATAAAAACATATAATCCTTGGGGATTTAGAGAGAGAACATTCTCAATATTTCCAAATCATCACGGGAATGTCAGTCATGTGGTCAAACTGTTGGTGGCTAAACATCACATGTAATGTGAAATGTATTTTTGCAAAATTGAGTGAGCAAAAGCGGGGTGCTTATGGTTTTTTCTTCTTCTCCCTCATTTGAGCTGTGGAAGAGAGGAAAATTCAGTTTCTTGTCTGTTGAAAGTGGTCAAATATCCTGACAAAAGGGCAAAAAAAAAGCAGAAAAAAAAAGAATTAAGCTACCTGTGTCAGATATGTTTTTTAGAAAATGTTAGTATTATTTTTTCAGTGTGTGCAATACCAATGTTCAGATTATTTCACTAGTTATGGCTCACTAATTTTATCGATTATTTTTTAATTTAGTAAATAAAAAAGAAGAGCTTTTTGGTTTTTCAGTGTTTGATTTTAGCAGATTCCAGACTAGTTTCTAGTGAAAACCTCTGTCACAAAGCCACATTTCATTTGTGAAGTGTGACTAGATGGAACTTTTGCTTCTGTTAGCCCTTAACTCCTCTGTAAGAAGTTAGGCTTTACTTTTCTCTCTCTTTAAGAGGAAAATAACCTGCTTTAATGATGTCAGCATATATTTTCTTTCCTGCATTCATACAGGAGAGACTCTTAGTCTCTGAGACTCTTGAGTGTCTCTCCATAGACACTCAGAGTTTCCAGATGGCCTTAGGTAGAAGAAATATTTTGCAGTAATCCTGTAAAGGATTACTGTAAAGGTTCTGAAGGGTGCACAGCAATGGTGCTGAACAGTGTGGGGGGAGTTTTTTGTGCCTTCCATTGCAACCAAGCAAAAGCCAAGGTTCATGTGCAGCTTTGGAACTCTTCATTTGCAAACTGGACTGTGGCTATCATGAAATTTCAATATCTCCTGTATTTTCACATGGTCCACAAGCAAGTTTAAATTTATAATGAAAATTGCTCTTCCAGTAGAAAAACCGTGGCACCATCTGTGAATATGACTATGACATTTAAATGTTTTTTTTAGTCTCAGATGTGGTCAGAATCTAAGCTTTATGTCAGACTCAGCATTTTTAGGGACTGTGGCCTTGTGCAAAGGACTGCTGAGGACCTTTAACTAAAGGGACTGTAGTGGAATTTGTGAGTGTGAAGAGTCTGATATTTTAGCTTTAATTTCTATTACTCAGTTCTTACATTCTGAATATCTCACATAGAAAAGTATTCTGTTGACAAAATCCCTCAGATAAAATTTAACTCTGAGAAAAAGTAGACAGGCAAGAATGTTAGGTGGTGTCAGGACAACTGAAGAGTTTCTCATGCAAAGCTATGTAGGTTTTCTGTCTATATCCCCCTCTCCAGATTTAGGCAGCAGGTTTCAGAAGGAGAGATGTAAGATATTTTAAAATCATAAGGTTTAAACCATATGGATCAAATCTGGATCATCATCCATAGTACTACAATGTCTGTGTCAACAAGAAAGAGATGCAAATGTTCTTTGAAAAGCTAATGCACAGTTTCTGTTATTTTGCTAAGTGTTTCTAGGAGCAAGAGGAGTAGGGAGCAGGTGGGAAAACATGGCAAGCCAGTCATAGCTTCCAAACCATTTTGACTGTCCCAGGACCCCATGAAGAGACAGAAAAAGGGTCAAGGTGTGAAGTGGGAGGAAAACATCCCTTCTGAAAGCAGCAAATTACAGATCTCTCTTTTTCCACTCCGTCCTCCCTTTTTTCCTGGCTGTAACCTGAATCTCACTTGTCCTCCTACCACTCTTTCCCAGCTTTTCCTTTACCCTGACTTTCATGTGCCAGGAGAGGGTCCAAATACATTCAGAATCTGATGCCTTTTTTTTTTTTTTTCAGGTGGTCAGATTTGTATGTGGCAGCATTGGTAATTTTTCTGTTATCTATCCCACACAATCTTTTAATTAGAGAGCTCAGGGGATTGTGTATATTCCATTTTGAGCTCTTGCAGTCAAGGGCTCAAAAGCTGTAAATATTGGAAATGTCCTGAATTTTTTATTCTAGTTAACCATTAACTAGTCAACCATGACTTGAGATGGACAGACCACCCTGAATAACAAGCCTTACTGCAGAATTGCTGCCATGACTGATCCTAGAGGCACTTGGCTTTTGGTGCTAAACAAATGGTATCAGCTTGTAACACACAGTATGGGAAGCACTCTGTGAACTGCCTGGCCTAAGGGACTAACTATCTGCAAAATATTTCATTGTAGTGATAAAAACATGCATTTGCCATACTTTTCACACTACAGTCATGAGGAAGACCCCCAGTACTTTGTAGCACTTGAAACTGTTGAAAAATAAAGTTAGTTTTGGAAGAAGGGTTAAGAGGTTGTGGAATGGATATCTAATCCTTTGAAAATATAATTCCCTGGAATTTCAGGTGAAGACCTTTTATTATTAGTTTCTTATCTATCATATGGATGCATTCAGTCTATTTGCATTCTCATCCTCCCTTTTTATTGCCTTCAGATCCAAACTGTCACCAAGAAAGTGCTGGTGCCACTACCCGTTGAAGAGCCACCTAATGTCACTGATTCTGCTATTGCTATGGTGAATGAAACAGCACCACCTGAGGCCCAAATGGTCATTAAGAAGGGACTTGAATTTAAGGATGGCATGAATGTCCTGGGTAAGAAAATCTTCTGCCTGTCAAATATGTACATGATAGCTATGTCACAGCTTTTTGCTGTGGCTAGATAGTCAGTGTTGTCTGATCTGGTCTTCAGTGCACCTTTAGTCTGTCTAGATAGTCATCAAATGCTATCACCTACCGGCTGTCCATTGGTCTCTGAGATATCACAGAAATCAGTAAGTGAGTTGTTCTGGATTGGCAGCTTTGTGGTTATGAATTGGAGGAGTACAGTGGCAAAACGTGTAGGAGCTACCCAAGGTATCCTTTCATCCTAGAAGAAGCTGACCTAGGCTAATACTAAAGCATATTGGCAAAACAGTATGGGGGAGAGCTTCAAGAGCCAGCGCTTCACACACCCCCTGATGGATCCAAGTTGTTTCCAGTAGGTGTCTCGGGTGTGCTGAACTAATTTGGTTTGAGGCAGAGCCTGAAGTGAGAGGTGGAGTGTGAACCTCACCACCCAAGAAAAATCCCAGAAAGGCTTGACACATTTCTGAGTCACAGCTCCCTCCTCCTTTCATCTTGGCTGCTGACCTTTACCAGCTGCAATTGCCATTATGCCATCTTGTCTGGACAAGCCAGCAAGTGGAGGTGATAGGAAAACTTTGCCCATCTCCCACCCTTTCCTGAATCAACTGTTCAGTCTGGGATGGAGGCACACGAGAAACAAACAGCTTCCACGCCACTTCTATTTCCTCTTCTGTGTCTAGAGTCCCTGTTTTTTCATCTCAGAGAGGAGTGTGCTCCTCCTTCACCTCCTTCCTTTCTATATGTGGGTGAAGTCAGTCCCAGATTAGCTCCCAATTTGTAGCATCACACCTACACTTGAAGATGCTCTGTGACAGCACGTCCACAAGGCTGAGGCTGACACCTCTCTGTCTATAGGTGTCCTCAAAGTGGGACAGTATGTTGGGGTACCTAATCCCCTGCTTTCTCTCACCACTAGGCCATAATCTTTGAAGGGCAAATGGCCTCTTACAGCTGCTGAACAGCTCTTGCTGATACAGTGCTGTCTGCAGACCTTCCTGAGGTATTGGTGAGTTGGTTGGCTGCTTTGCTTAGATACAAGGGAGATGATAGCATTGATAAGCTGGTCTTGTTTTTCTGTGAAGCAGCCTGCTCTACAAGAGCCCTGTATCCTGCCTGCTTTCATGGCTCTCGTTCCATTCAGCATCTGTGGGCAGAGGAGCCACTTTCAGAGCTGCAAGTTGGCATTTTGCACCAGGCATGAGGCAGCAGCTCGTTGCCAATGCTGTTTATCCTCAGCTGTTTTTTTCTCTCCTGGAATTCTGCTTATGCATTAAAATGAAATGGTTGTTCTGAGTGAGAGATACATTACATTTAACGCTGGGTTTGTTTTGTGTAGGTTCTGTCATGGATAAGAAAATATCTAGAAGGCTGAGTGCAATTCCTACAGAAAAGAAATAAACATTTTAGCTGGGGAATTTGCTGTGTTGTTTTGACCAACAAATGACTCTCAAATGTTCTTGAGTTTTCTGGATTGGTTTATGGCAGGTTTGATTTTGAATGGAGAAATGAAAATGTTGTGGGAATTGCCATCCAGTTTGGATAAGGTGTACAAGCCAGGCAAATCCCTGCTAATAGGAACCAATCTGATTCTCATGACTAACATAACAGCTCATTTGGAATTAATGAACACAACTACCTATTAACATTTTCTAATGCAGATTCTGAATTCCAGGAAGTAACTCGGTCTTTGAAAAGCTTTTCATCATTTCTCTATGCTCTGCAGCACACAAACATATGCTTCACTTCCCTATTCAACTGACTCAACAAAGATAGCTTGGTTCTAAAGAATGACTTTGTATACAGGAAATTGGATTAAAAAAAAGAAGAAAAAAAATCTGGTTGCTAAACCTAGTGTGAAGATATGGGACAGTCTGTCTTTTCCCAGGGTATTGGCAGCTCACATTGCCTTATCTTGAATACTTTTGTGTCCCAATAGGTTTTTTCCATAGGAATTTCCCAGATTAGTTTACACATTTGTTAAATACTGGACTCATATCATGACTGAAAATTTAGCCTCAAAGAATGGCTGAAGATTCAAACCATCTGTCATTATCAGTTAATAATCCAACTCTGAACACTGAAAATTTCTGGTTATAAAAGGTTAGCATTGAAGAAACAGCTCTAAAGTAATCCATGACAGATGCATCCAATTTTTTTCCACACTAATAGTCCAATACTCCAGATATTCACACCTTAAAATCTACATTTAGGAGCCAAATGTTGCCCATTTTGAATGCTACAATTTTGTATCAACTGATAGCCCTTTCAGTGAAGTTAAGCTGCTTATTGGGAGTTCTGTGGTTAAATGCAATACCCACCTTCTCCTCCCACCTCTACCTTCTTCATTTAACAGGAATATTCCTGGCCTACAAAAGTTCTAGGGCTACTTTACCTTTCCCTGCACTCCAGGATTTATTGGTCTGTCAAGGTACTTTTGTAAAGCCTGAGAAAATTTCTTCTTTGATTCTAGCAACTGTTTTAACAAGAGAGTTACAGTGCAGCACTGTGTTGCATTTCCCATTTGCCAGGGCTTGTGAGGTTTCTAATAGCTGAATGGCACTGAGAAGATTACCACATATGTATTTTTTGATGATCAGATCAGTACAGGAAAAAAAAAACCCAACAAAACTGTAATTGGACTGTGAAACTGGAATTTAGTAAAACATCAAAGATTTTCTGGATTTGCTTATGGTAGTTGAGCATGAGTACATATTAAAAAGTCCCAAGACGTGTGTAATATCCTATAGTTCTGATATCCTGAGCCATGTGCTCTAGGATGGCCCTGCTTGAGCAGGGAGGTTGGACCAGATGACCCAACTGTGGTCCATTCCATGTTTACCTAAACTGTGATTCTATGCTTCTGTGAAATATGGATTTGCAGGTAGCATCAAGACATTGACTAAGTGCAAAAAATTCCTAAGAGCCTTCTTTTTGTCTTGCAATTTTTCTCAATAGGTTTGATAGGATTCTTTATTGCTTTTGGCATTGCTATGGGGAAAATGGGAGACCAGGCCAAGATGATGGTGGATTTCTTCAACATCCTGAATGAGATTGTAATGAAATTAGTAACCATGATCATGTGGTAAGTTTGTAGCTGTAACTAACAGAACAAAAAAGTAATTTTTAAAAAGCCCTGCCCTTATAAGACCTTAATATAGTGATTCCACTTTCTAAAGCCTTGCCAATTATAGTAGAACCACAGCAGCATTATTTCCACTTGGTGAGGATTATTTGGGACCCAGTTTGAAACATTTCTGAAGAGATTCTGTTCTTTGTGTGCTGAAATACAACACATGTATGTACCAGCAAAGCCCTTCAAATGCCACATTAACTATGGAAGTTCATTATAATGGAGAACACCTAAGCAAGCAAGAATGGCCCACAAGAACATCCCAATCTTCCTGGGAGGTTAGCATAATCCCAGGGTATTACCTAGGGCGTATAATTACAAAAAAAAGCCTGTTGACACACTGGATTCATAGTCTTCTTTAGTAAAAATGCTTTGGCATCAAAGAAAATTCCAGTAGTTTTCAGTGATGTGTAATCCTTTCACTCAGTTTCTGCAGAATGTGTCTTATAACCTTGCTGCAATGGGTCACTGGAAGATATCTGCTCTGTTTTTGAGGTATACCCATTTGTAATAATAGGGCCTGGCTTGCCTTTAAGGAAGTGGTTTTACTCAATCAAGTCTGAGCCCTTGTTTACACATCTGAGAAGGGGCTCTCTCTGACACTCTTTTTTTTTTTTTCTGAAGTGTTTCTTCTGAGTGCTTCCCCAGAGCTATTTGTATGCCAAGCATGGCCGTCTCACATAAAGCCAGTTTTCCAGAACATAAAAATGCACTGCTACGTTTGGCATTGAACTAGTGTGTTTCCTAGGTCTTTGAGAGCAGAAATAGCCACTCCAACATAACACACATCTCGTGGCTCATTGCTTCTGGGATTCCCTGGTGTCCCTGGGAGTGATTCCTTGAGTTCCAAGGCTGCCCCCTTCTCTAGAGCTCGATGGACACAGGGTATAGGAAGGGGAGCAGGGTGCCTGAAGCGCGAGTTGTCAGCACCATCAGCGTTTCAGAGGGACACTGTCAGGCCGGAGTGATGCAGGCAGTAACAACAGTGTGGGAATGAGCAGAGTAACAGAAAGAACTTGAAGCAATGACCTTGCATTCCTGTTATGCTTCTCCTTTTCTGTAGATGATCTTGCTGCATAAAATCAAAGCTGTTTTCATTCACAAGTCTTTCAATATTTTCTAAATCTCCGCTCAATAGAGAGATGGTTACTAGACCCCCATAACCCTCCAGGAGTTAGAACTTACTCTTATTTAGCACCATTTGGCAAACCCGAGACATAATACCCTGCCTACAATATAACGTTCTCTAGTAGTCAATGCTGCAACAGCAGGAATTCTTCCAATTTTCAAGAAATGCACTGTAAATATTTATTTTTATTGATGTGATTTTTATTTCTCTTCTCATTAAAAAAAGGAAATTGATGTTGGGAATTCCTTTTGTTCATCTTTGTTTAGAATTTTTAAAGATTTGTTGAGGCCAGAAGAAGGGGATTTTAGTGTGTGTTTATAAAGAAAAAAGCACTTCCTTATGCAGAGTTACATTCTGTTTGGTTTGTGATTGCTCAGACAGACATCTGCAACTCCCATGGCACCTAGAGACTCTTGGGAGCATGGCATTGCTACATAAGCATAAAACAAAACAGACATCTGGCTCTGACAACATGTAACTCGCTGTAAGAACTGCATTTTGTCAAGTTCATTGAAACGTGTCATTTTATGATAACTGGTATAACAGCTGGCCTTGCATTTGAAGTGATTGAAGGCTTCCAGGCCTTGGGCACATTGCTTGAGAAACCATGACATATTCCAACAAAAGCCAGGAAGTACTTTTATTCTGAAAGTCAATTTCCTTTGTATTGTTCTAATGATTGAGGACACAAAAACCCTACCCTAAATAACAAAAGTACATAATTAATGAAGAATCCATAAATTAAAAAGCACTTGTCTGAATTATTTAAAGAACATAGTGGAAGCATTTTCAGCCTTCAAGATGTAAACAGTTCATGTCAACAAATAGTTTAACTGAAGTAAATAATGCAATCCCCTGAAACCAGATAAACAATGGGGTGTAAAAGTTACATTTTAAGAACAAATCTGCGCCATTCTTTATAATGATACAAGCCTGTGTAACATTATCATATTCTTGTACAATGTTATTTTAGGATTGAGAACTATTTAGGAAAGACATATTCCTTTTGATAGGATGGAAAATTGAGTTGACGGGGAATTTGCTGGAGATGGCCATTCTTTTTTAAAAAAGATGTGAAAACTATCCCTTGAATTTCCATCAATTCTTGACGTGCACCTCACTGTTGAGCCTGAGAGGTCCCTACTCTTCTCCAGTCTGTATTTTGTTCAGCACAGTTTTTATCACTGCACTGCCAAGATGATTTCTGTCCATGCTTGTTTTCTTTCTCCAGGTATTCCCCGTTGGGTATTGCTTGCCTCATCTGTGGAAAAATCATTGCAATCAAGGACTTAGAAGTAGTTGCTAGACAACTTGGCATGTACATGGTCACTGTGATTGTGGGTCTTGTCATCCATGGAGGGATCTTCCTGCCTCTGCTCTACTTTGTGATAACAAGGAAAAGTCCATTTTCCTTCCTTGCTGGGATTTTCCAGGCATGGATCACAGCACTAGGCACAGCTTCCAGGTACACCTGAGAAATACCAATGGGCTTTATTTTTTAGCAGATTATTACCTGCTTTTTGGAAATGGTACATCTGCTGTTCTAACCTTCACTGCAAAATCATTTTATGCCATTGAATTAAAACTATTTTTAATACAACCGTGTTTAAATAAATCAAAATACCACTTGCCTTCAGGAATCTCTAGAGAGGCTGTATCTCTGCAGGGACCTGCAGACATCTGGGAGACCTACTTTTTTGTTTTCTTTCTTCTTTAATTTTCTTTTCTGACATTTGTCTAATCACTTGTGCAAATGGTGTTAATTCTGTGCTTGTTTCCTCAACTAGGGTAAGTGATAATTCTATTTATTTTGACAGCATGTTAAGACCAGTCTCATTGCATTCAAGAAAGAAAAAACAAACATTTCTAGGTTTCACAAAAGAAAGGAAAAAAAAAAACCTCTCAGTTTGTATTTTAATCAATTTTGGCAAAATAATTGCACTTCAGTGAAAAGCTGAGCATTTAGACTTGTCAATGCACAGAACAGACTCAGAAAAGTCTGTAAGTAACACAACTCTAAGTAATAAATTTTTAAAAATAAAAAATTGGTGTCTTGCATTGGGGCAATCAGTAGATCTTGAGTTGAAAAGGTTTTTCAGTTAAATGCCATATTTAGAAGTCTTTTCCTTCAATCAGTGTTTTGTTTCTGAAGATAATTTAATCTTCCATTTTAATTAAAAAGGTGAAAACAAAAAAACATAGTTCAAAATGGACCACCAGAAAACTGAGCATTCTTGATCTGAAGAATGCCTGGAAAGAACTGTAATACAGCTGTTTCTTTGGGTCAATCCAAACCACTCTGCTGAACAGCTTCTTCCTTCTCATTCTGATGAGCGAGAGTCTCTGGGGGATCTCACTGATGTGCATAAACATCTGATGGGACATGCCAAGAAGATAAAGTGATACCCCTTTTCAGTGGTGCCACACTGAAAGGAAGAACCATCTGAACACAAGAAAACTCTTTTTGCTGTGATTTACTGTGACAGTGCATGTATGCTGGCGCAGGTTACCCAGAGGAGTTGTGGAGTCTCCATTCCTGGAGATTCACTAAGCCTGTCTGGCCACAGTCCTGGGAAATGTGGGAAACCTACCCTAGCTGCACATGCCTTGAGCAAAGTGGTCCGGAGGGGTGAGCTCCAGAGATACACTCCAACCTCAGTAGTTCTGTCCCCTGTGATAAACAATGTTGGATTATAGGAGATCTGGTCTGGCCAAGAACAGATCAAACCACGTTCACGTCTTGGCCTCGGTCCCACTTCCAGCTAAATGCAGGCCTAATTTAAAAATTGTCTAAAAAAAGGCTTAAATCACAGCAGAAAGTGGAAGTAAAAAATGTAAACAATGGTATTAAAATGGTATTAAAATCTCTGATTTTGCTCCCTTCTGTGTATGTGTTATATTGATTTTAATTGTGTCTTCTTTGGTTTTTTTGCTTTCTCTCCCTAGTGCTGGAACATTACCAGTCACATTCCGGTGTCTTGAAGAAAATCTCGGTATTGATAAGCGTGTAACAAGGTTCGTTCTTCCTGTTGGAGCAACTATTAACATGGATGGAACTGCCCTTTATGAAGCTGTGGCTGCCATCTTCATAGCACAGATGAATGGAATTGACCTGGATGGAGGCCAGATAGTTACTGTGAGGTCAGTTCAAAAGAGTCCTTTGTTTCTACAGACTGTAAAATGTGAAGGCTTTGGGTTGGATGTCTTCTCAGGAGCTGAGTCATCTCTGTTGGATTCAGTATGAAATCCATGGATTTCTAATAATGATATGCAAATGATATGCAAATGAATGTTTTATATATGGGTCCTGGCTCTCTGGTGGTTGTTTCTATCATTTGCAGCAACAGTGCATGCTGGTGGTGTTTTACACTTCTGCAGTTCACAGTTGCCATGGTTTAATCCCAGGCAGACACCAAACCCCACACAGCCACTCGCTCACTCCCTCACCAGTAAGACTGGGGAGAGAATCACAAGGGTAAAAGAAAACCCATGGGCTGAGATAGCAATAGTTCAATAAGAAAAGCAGAAGCAGTGTCCACAAGCAAAGCAAACCAAGGAGTTAATTCATTGCTTCCCACAGGTGAGCAGGTGCTCACCACCTCCAGGAGAGCAGGGCCCCACCACATGTGACAGTCACTTGGGAAGACAAAGGACATCACTCCAAACTCCCCTTTTCTCCTTCCTCCTCCCCCTTTTTGCACTGATGATTCCACAAACATGTGGTGTGGGATATCCCTTTGTTCAGCTGGGGTCACCTGTCCCAGCTGTGTCTCCTCCCCTGTACCCCCAGCTCCCTCACCACTGTGGCTGTACAAGAAGCAGAAAAAGCCTTGGCTCTGTGTGAGCCCTGCTCAGCAGTAACAAAAACATCCTTGTATTATCAACCCTGTGTTCAGCACAAGTCCAAAACACAGCCCCATACCAGCCACTGTAAAGGAAATTAACTCTACTCCAGCCAAAACCAGCACACAAACAATGTAAATTGTAATATAAAGCATTCTCTGTCCAATGAAATGCCTTTTTTTTTTCTTTTTTTTTTTTTTTTTTAGTTTAGGGGTATGTTACAGTTCATCTATGGGCCATTCACTTTCTAGAATATATCTGTTTATATACACTAGAAGAAAAAAATATACCTAAAAAATCTTTCTATGTGTTTATATTTGCCTGTGCTTTTTCTGTGACTTTGATGAACAGGAAAAAAATAATGAACTGAGAATAGCCCACCCTGAGGGTGAGATTGTCTGTGGCATGATCTGGATAGTCCCAGACCTTTTATCTCTAACCCAGCAAATATTAACTGTAGTCTTTTCATATCAAATTTTCTTAGCCAGAAGAAAGCTGAGCATCTGTAAGAACAAAAGAAAGTACCCATTTAAAAAGGATAAGAGTGATTGAAGATTGTTTACTGTAAGGGAGTTTTAACTTGATGAAGACAGCAAGTCTAACATTTTGAATAGTTAAAATGGAAACCACAAGTCAAGGCTGCCAAGTTTGTCTTCTTCCTGTCGTTTTCACCTACACAGTTTTCTTTTATTAAACCTTTTTAACACAAAAGAAACTCCTGCAAAGGGATGTCTAATTCTATGTTTCTTGCCCAGCTATACTAGTTCCACACTTTCCATTCATTTATTTCCTGCCCTGACTCCTGAAATAGTAAAGCCAAGTTTGTAAGAGGTTTTCAGGGCTGCTTCTAATGAAGGCAGATGCTAGACCTGCATGATCCATATTTGTTCCTAAAACTGGAAACAGTCATTTCAGAGATGCCACATATTAAACTAAATTGAGACTAGGGAAATTCAACTCAGGAATCTGCTGTTGTCCAGGAGACTCGCTAGGCTTGAACCTGAGTTACTCATCTTCTCTTCCTCTGAGGGATTGAGCAATTGACTCTTCCTGACCTCTCCATTTCAAGTCTGGTGTATCCAACTTTGTGACTGACATTTACAAAGCAGGGAGCAACTTTGGTCAATATGTAAAACCACTGGTTTTCCTCTTCATGCATTTTTGCTACAGCAATATGACAAGAACTATCTCTTGAGATGGCAATACAAATGAAGGAAAGATAATTAGGTTTTGTCTGAAATATGCACTTTGTGATCCTGACAATATTCAAATGACCCAGACATAACCTCATAAAGACTTAATTAGCCTTTGACCAGCCTTAGTTACTTCATACTGGTCATTTAATTCTTCTGATTTTCTGTGTTCTTTGGGGAACGGTGGTCTTGGTAGCTAAGACAGGTTCTGTTTAGTTCCGAACAGTGCTAGCTTCATTCCCCCCCAGGTTTCTAGGTGCTGCTGTGGGAAGGCAGGCAGGAGCATTTCCTCACAGAGCTTGGAAGGAATCCCTTACCAGTTTAGGCTGGAAGTGCCTGAGGATCTGGCATCACGTGCAAAGCCTGACAGCAGAGCAGAGCATCCTGCCTGCGCATCTGCTGGAGCTATTTGGGTGTTTAGTGAGCCAGGCTGCACTCTAACCCAGACACCTGACAAACACACTGCAGCCTGGGTCAGACCCAGCCAGACAGCACCTGGCAGCTCTAAATCAGGCTAGCAGATGAGTTCTGGGGCTAATGGGCATGTATTTCCTGTAGAGTCTGTTCTCCCCTCCTTCTGCATTGGAAGCACTTTCAGATGTGTTGGGTAGGAGTGGTGGGGTGAGCCCTGGTCCCCCTGGGAAGCCCAGAGGAAATGGCACTCCCTGGCACAGCTCATGCTTTCCTGTGCTAAGGCTCCACCCACAGCCCCATTGCCCAGCTTTTATTCCTGGGCAGCCCAGCTGTGGGACTTTTCTCTGCCCTGACTGGCTGCCAGGTGAAGTCCCCTTAGAGACAGAGTGTCCCCCCATTTTCTGCCTCCCTAACACCTGGCATGTGTTAGGGCTCTCAGCATGTGTACAGCCCCTGTAATTGTTTTTCACCTCATGTATAGCATATATTGTGGCATAAACAAAAATCAAATTGGTCCCTCTCACCTGCTTTCCTTTTTATTTACCCTCCTCCTCTCCTTCTGCTTCTCCCTCTCCTCTTTCCTGTTTTTCTCCCCTTGACTTGCTCTCTGACAAATTTATTTTCCATTCTTTATAAGACTGCCCAATTATGTTGATATTTGTTATGGTCCATGTTGTATTTTTACAAGTATTTGAAGCTCAGACATTCATCCTACTGATCTTCATCAAAATATATGAGGCAAAAACAAACACAGGTCTGGATTTATGAAACAATCAGATAAATTTTGCTTTTTCATCTAGGGTAATTTGTATGCAGGCTGGTTAGACCACTGGCTTGTATTTTGGGAGTTTTGGATACCAGACTTTTATTCTTCTGTATTTAATAATAACTGCTTTCTCTCAGCCTTTAATTCACAATTCAGTCCTCAGGTAACATAAATAAACAGAAATGAATCACCCTGAAAATTCAACCTGTAGTCACTACACTTTGGCATGTCGGGATGGTCAAAACTAAGGATTCAAAACCCTGGATGAGTTTATCAAATTTAGAAGACACCAGAACACAGATTTGAATGTCATAACTAGCTTGCAGACAGCCCTCTTCCAACTCTTGAAACAAACCCCATAGATCTGACCTCCCCTAATAAATATTTCTAGAGAAACACAAGAGAGAAAAATATGACCAGAGCTTACCTTGATTTATCATATAGTTATGTTTTATGGGAAGAACACATTAAAAATATGACCTTCCTAATGGTGACATGAGAATTTAAGTAAAGTGTGTGTTCTCTTCCTGCTACTCCTACTTGATTCTTGGTTTTGCAGTTTGACCGCCACCCTTGCCAGTGTTGGAGCTGCCAGCATTCCCAGCGCGGGACTTGTCACTATGCTGCTGATCCTGACTGCCGTGGGTCTCCCTACCCAGGACATCAGTTTGCTTGTTGCTGTTGACTGGCTTTTGTAAGTTGTGCTGACTCCACTGCTCAGTGCAGAAAAGGTAGTGAAGTAATGTCTGTCCACAGGGCTTTACAGCCATTGGTCTTAAAGGACTGTAAGTCTCTCCTCTCCAGATAAATCAAAAGAGGATATGGGCTATTCAGTGAAGTAGGAAGCACTGAAAGCAGCTTCTCAGCTGTTACAAACTGTTACAGAGCTACTGAAGTCAGTTTCTGTGAGCTAAGGATCTTCTTGGCACACTTGTGAGCTCACACTTTTATACTATCTTCCTAATGCTGCTTTTCCATCACTCAAAAGCAGTTTTCTAATCTATGCTTTCATATTTCCATTTGTTATTGTTCTGGTCTAAAATGAAGGATGAACGCTGAAAATGCAAGTTCCATCAGGATGTTGCCAGCAGGCTATAGAGTGATGTGGGCATTTGTAGTATCAAATGTTTTATACTTGTAGGGGGGAAAGTTGGTTTCTTTTTGTATATAAGAAAGCAAAATACCTTTAAAAAGGGCCTGTTCCAGGGCAGGAAAAAGACCAAAGACAAATAAGAATGAAAACTGAAATAAAGAAGGTAGTTCCCTAGTTTCATTTTACTGACAGATCATTCAGACTAGGAAGAATGGCTTTAATTTCCAAGAACTTGTGATCAAAGTCCTCCAGTGACATTGTAGGTCCTTCAGCAATAAACAGCTAACCCACATATTGTTTTCTGAGGCTATTGGTCTTCAACACTTGAATACAGAAGCTGTAAATACAGACAGAGGGTATGCCAGGCCACATCCTTTCTCTTGCTGCCATTTGACGGCTGGGATATCCTTCTGTCACCTGTGCAGGGCTGAAAGAGACTCAGTAGCCCTTAAGTTGTACTTGCCTCTAGAGACACTTTCACATTGTCCTGTACTGCTGCAGCACAGTATATTCTGGTTTATTCTGGTCAACAGCCAGCTCTCCCATAATATCCTTTGAAGCAGTAAAGACATTCGTTTTTGTTGTTCCAGCTGTGGTGTACAGAAAGGGATACATAAATATAAGTTACTATTTGTGTGTTTTCTCCTACACTAGCAGCCTCAGCTGCCTGCTTCTGGTAACTTTCATTTCCAGATACACAACTAAAATTATGCAAGAAGAAATAGCAGAGTTGAGAATGTTCATGTGCAGATAAAATAGAAGTTTAATTTTCTGTAATTATCTCTTGGCTTATTGAGAAGAATTCAAGAACTAAGTCAATCCTCTGACATGTATTTTCGCATGGTCTATCTGTCACTAAGAATTTTGAAGGCTAACATGCAGCTCTGATTTCTGCTTCAGGGAAGAAAGAAAAAGGAATTCACAGTTTGAGGAGGCAAAGGGAAAACTTGACTTAGATTATTTATATATAACTGAATCTCATGATGTCATGATGGAGAACGGTGAAATGAGAAGGTGCAGGCATAGGGAAGGATGTGATATAGTGGGTTTATTATATTTATGATGTCATAGTTGAAAACAGGAAAGTGCTATAGGAATCTGCAGCTGGAAGAAGGAGAGAAAAAAATATACTTTAAATATCTGTTTTTCTTTGCTCTCCAAGTAAGGCAAATAGGTAGGTTTCTGCAGCTGGTAGGAGGATGTGCAAAAGGAGCCTGTGGTTTGTTTGGTCTTTTTAGGGAAATGTATTTTTAAAATATTCCTGTGGACTGAGAAGCTCTGCCTACACTAGCAAGCCTGAGAGCTGTAAGTTTATCAGCAGTTCTGATCCACTAGTGTGTGTAGCATTTCAGCAGCATTGTCCCCACTGGCTAATCCAACCTTGCTTAGGAAATAAAAACTTCTGTACTGTGGAGCTGTAGCCATGACGAATGTAGGAAGAGGAAGGATAGGAATTCTGAAAGAAATACTTCAAGATAGCTTTCCAAAATAAATTAAGGCAAGAGGACTTTCAGCCTGAATGGTTGGGTTTGGATCCTCATGGTCTACTGATCAGCACTGACAGTGCAGCATGATTCAGAACTGAGAGGTAAAAGGAAAAGAGAGAAAAGAAGAGGCGAAAAGCTCTGTGTCATGCCACTGGTGCTGCAAGTCAAGATGCTGTTGGTGAAAGTGCTGTACTTATTAATCTATGTTCAACAGCTAAGAGCTTCATTTTCCATCTTCCAGTAGCTGTGTTGTGGTAGCCATAATGATCTAATGAACTAAGAAAAATGATGCTGCTGATATTGCTACATTAAGCAAAGACATACAGGCCAACTTCTGAGCAAGCTTTTGCACACACAAACCAGACATAAAGAATATCTGAAATGAAATGTCATAAAAACACATTTTCTTTACCTACAAACATTAAATAATGTTACAGCGGTATTTCTAACAGAATGTAGAAGAGAAAGTTAATAAAATATTTAAGACCCAATCCCAGCCACTTTTCTGGAACCCCTGAATAAATACAACCAACCATGTACAAATACTTAGAACATCCCTTCAATAACATTACAATTTCAGATAAAAAAGGGTTTAAAAAATATTCTACTCTGAGTTTTTCATTATTTTTGATAAAAGCAAACATCAGAACGTCAGCTGATTTTACAGTACTATCACCATCTGAAATTGTCGTCTTACCAAAAACAGTTTTGCATTATTTGGTCATTATTGTGTGACAATAATTTTTTAAACAAAAATAAATTATTGGTATTATTGTGTAACACAAAGATCACTTTATGTCAAATCCTAAGACTTGGCACTCTCTCCTTCAAACTGGAGATGAAAGATTTCTATATTGATTTTTTTTCTCAAGCCTCTTCAGTATGTATTGGGTTATTCAATTTTTCTACCTCCCATGCATGCATACCCAGTGTAAGCTCTTTCAGTCAGGCAAGTTTCCCAGGATTTCACAACTCTTATAGTTTAAAACCAAGCACAACACAGCCGTGGCATTTAATAGGAAAGTAATTGTATTCCAACAGATGGAATAAAATGAGCTTATTTTGCTTGAGCCACAAACTGGGTACTCTCCAGATGTGAGCTGACAAGCTTAGCAAGTATCAGTGGTACTAGATTAGTGGCATTTTGCAGCAAAGAGAGAGGAATTAGGGAAAATGAGCTTGGGCAGCTGATCTGGTAAAGCTTCATTCAGTAACTCAGAAAAAGATTGCTTCAGTTCTGACTCTGGGTCTGAATATTCTGAATCTAGATCTAAGCCAAGGCTTAGATCAGAGTCAGAATATTCAGACCCCATTGAAGTCTGGATGTTATGAATAGGGTCTAGACTGCAACTTTCCTATATTTGTTTTGTTTACATCATCCTACTTGCCTGGAATTAATTGGTTAGCTGGTTTTAACAATAGAGTATATACAATTGTCTTTGTTCTTCATAGGGTGTTCTTTGCTCCAAAAGAGGTCAGTGGCAGTTTGCTGCTGATTCCTGACAGCTGAGACGTTGCCGTTTCTGTTGTAAGGAACTTCCTTGTTTCCTTCAGATCGCGCAGTGTAACACATTGTGCATCAGTGTGCACTTTGTATTGCTTTATCGCTCAGCTAGGAGCACGTGTGCGTGACCTGGAGCATCTCCTCAAATGACCCTTTCAGAATTTGAATTCTGCCTCAATTATATTTATGTATTCTCTCCAACTTGGTTTTTAGCATGCTAAACTATCCCTCTGTCATCTGGCATCAGTGAATCCTTTCAAAATTTAATACCACTCATGCAAAAAAAATTAAGTAGATGTTCTTTTTGTAGAGTTGTATTGCCAGATTCAGTGTATTTTATGGTCTTAATTAAAAATCACACCAGAAAGTCTTATTTTCCTATTCTACCATCTGACCAGGTTTAAAATAGTCTTCACAGGCATTGGATGAGAACTGCATAAAGCATTTAATTTGCATGAATCAAAACTGGAAGGACGTTTTCCTCCTATAGGTTGTTGGTTTGTTTGTCGAGGGAATTACTGTAGAGGTTTTCCCCTTCTGGGTATTCTTTGAAGCCAAAAAAAGGAAAATTAACTGCTTCAGCAAAGATATTACACCACAAAGTCTGTAAATACATAAGCATAATAATGTTGAGAGGGAGAGGAGAAATTTGAATGGGACTATTATTCCACAGCTGAGAAAGGAAGACTTAGCAATGTATAGAGTAAAGATGTTTAAATGGGCTCAAATGTTTATATAGTCATGAATAAGCATGAATAATGAATCTTTACTGGTTGAGATTTTATATATTTAGGTGTTTTCTTTTCAGTCTTCTACAGAAAAAGGAGATGTCACACAAATCTAGTACTAGAAATACTAGAAAGGTTGTTTTGAAATTAATCGCTGTCTTGGGAAATGATGTCTTACATACTAGCTTTTGTCACTTGGCAAATGTCCACACTGTTCAACCTGGTTATTTTTGTGTAAATGAATCTTCATGAATATACTTCTGAGAATTAATCAGTGTAATCACTTCTCTGACCTATTTGGCAGAGCTAGACTCGGTTGCTTTCAGTCGGTTTAATTTGCAACCCTTGGTCCGAAGGTTTTTAGGACTTTTATGTTCAGTGCAGCTATGAAGAGGCAAATGAGATTGTAAATGATTTTAACATGTGTGCTGCAGCAGGAAAGATAGCAAGACCCAGCTCCCATTTTTGCAGACTTTTGGTCAGGTTTGGGGCAGAATTCTGAAGTCAGGGAAAATCCACAACTGTGACTTCACTGTTGTCAGATAGAGCCACACTAAAGACAAGACAGGAGAAAGGTGGCATGTCTGTTTAATGGCATCCTGTCCAGAAAGTGCCAGCAAGCATATTTCTTTGTAATGAAGCATGCTGGCCTCTGTTGGCACCCTCCTACAACAAGGGGCACTCGTTAGTGAAATGCTGTCACAGGCTCATAATTTTATAGGCCATGACCTATATTTGGGTTGCTCATATGCCAAGCTCTGGTACACGTAGTGTGAGTGGGCATGCTGCCACACCAACAGATGGCCATCTGTAAAGATGGTGCCAGGAAAGGAGCTTCAATGGGCTAAGCATTATGGAGATATTTCAGGCATTTTTGTTCCCCATAGTTTGCTCACTAAGAGTAAGGGGAGAGGCCTTTGTTCATTCAAACTAGAAATGAAAACAGCTCATCAGAACCAAAATCCTTTTCTCTGGCTGCATTAAGTTCAGTGCTCTGATAAATTCAGATTAAACAAAGGGCCGGGGTGTGAGCCTGGTACCCTGATATTGAAACCTCCAGCTCCAGAAGCAGGCATGGGGTATCTCAGTAAAGCACAGCTCTGCAGTTTGGCTGTGATCTAGCATACATTCTTTGCCAAACTCCATGAGAATAAGCAGCTGGGACATGGGAGTTTGAACATCCTCCCTGGGTGGGAGTCCCTTGGGAAAGCAGACTTTTCCCATTTCCCTTGAAATCGCCTCCCATCTCTCCATTCAAAAGATACCTTAAGCTTCCCAAAACAAATGCAGTAACTGTACCATAAACAGGACTGCTGTGCCCTACTTTTTCTTCCTCTCATGACATTCAGCCTCTGCCTTTTCCTTCTTTTGTAGGGACCGGATGAGAACATCAGTCAATGTAGTGGGGGATTCTTTTGGTGCTGGCATTGTCTACCACCTTTCCAAGGCAGAACTTGACACCATTGATTCCCATCATAAAGGGCATGAAGACATTGAAATGATCAAGACTCAGTCAATCTATGACGACATGAAAAATCATAGGGAAAACAACTCAAACCAATGTGTTTTTGCAGCTCACAACTCAGTCATGGTAGATGAGTGCAAGGTACCTTTCACATTTATGGATATTGAGACATGTATATAGCACTGCATGCTTTATTTTATCTTATTTTTTAACCTGCATGTATTTTTCAAATTGTTCTGCAAATAACAATGTGACAACAAGGTCCATGAACCCCAGACATTTTGAATGTGTTTGAGCAGTTCAAAAGATGGTTTTTTGCACTCTTCTTAAAACTTGTCATTTGATGGGAAAAAATCATGTACTTTGTTTACATATCAAAAGGCAAGATGCAGCGTATTATGGAATATGCCAAGACACAGAGAATATGGCATCACCTTCTATGGACATTTACTTAATTTTCTGTGGCAACAGAGAACTTAATTGCCAGCCCAAATGAAGGATGGCTGCAATTCAGATGCAGGTGTTGTCACTTGCTGACTGCCTTCATGATATGCTGTTCAGAGGTCGACACGTTGAATGCGCTTTAGCATGAGAATGCTCCTGCACTCACACAGCAGCTTCTGCTTCTCTTCTGTCACTGTTCCTTCCCAAGGCACTAAGGCACAAACACTCTCTCCCCTCTGTAACCCTTGCTGTAATTAACATGCAATATTAATACTAATAATGACATCTTGATCAGAGTGAAGTGAGCTTGAGCAACCCCACCAGCTGAATGTGGAGACAGCTCGGGAGGTTAGTGGTTAAAAGTTCGCTAAGAACCCACCACTGGGATGGAGCTGTTTAAAATACAGAGAGGGCTTTTGAAAAGGAGGAGAAAAGGTAAAACAAGGTGGAACATCTAATTTCATAGTCTTTTTTTCTAATTTCACAGTCTTTTTTTTTTTCTCGAGTCTGATGCTGTACACTGTCTTTGAGACAGTGGGTTTGCCAATCAGCCTACCTTAGTCATTTATCCAAACAGATTCTCTTGTATCTTCCAATTGCCACAACTGAGCCAGTATCTAACTGTGAATGACTGCACTAAGTTCATTAGCATATCACCATTTATATGGGAAATATAATCCTATGCTGTCATTTTCACTTGTCTCTAGCCTGGCTGGAAATGTTCTTTAGAATTACTTTTTTTCCTAATGCTTACTTCCTGAAAATGCAGGCCAAACTTGAATTTTCAGGGGAAAAATTAATATTGAATTCAGGGGAAAAAACCAAACAGCATTCATCCTATCTTTAATTTTTGTAAAATTTTTTCAAGGTTTCAATGAAGTGATTTTTTTTTTAAATCATACTTTTTTCTGACATGGCTCTCCCCTTTCTCTTCAGACCCACTCTTTCTCCATTCGGAAAATTTAAAAAATAAGATCTGAAATGGAAAGAGAATGCATGCTTACACAAAATTGAAAATTGTCATTAATTTATATTTCTAAAAAAGGCAAGGACACAAGAGATTAAAATTAGAAGAAAAAAGAAACATTCTGGAAAGAAAGACAACGAGCATGTGCGCACACTTTTTGGATAACTTCTTTTGGAATTTTTTGAAAACTGTTTTTAAGTTAAATAGACAATGCTGGGTTAAAGATTATGTTTATGGAACTGAATACTGATAGTTTTATCAGCTCCCAGTTTCTCAGATTTGCAGAGAAATCCAAGTCAAGTTAAAAAGTAGTAGCTTGTTGATTAAATCAATACTTGCTGCACTTTCTTTTCTCCTTCACTTTCTCATATAATTTCCCTTAACTGAGGCAATAGCTTGTCTCAAAACCATGGATTAATGGTGCTGTGTGTCATCCCAAGCGCACCCTTTAATTCAAATATGAGACCAGTGATTTTTTGATCGAGAAATGTTTGTTCTTTTTAATTGTTTTAGGTTTGCTCTGCTTACAGTCTCAGTTTGCACTTTTAAACTCATGAAAAGAGCCAGGCTTTACCAGATTGAGCAGAAGACTGACTTTGAGTCTCTTGTCTGTCTGCAAGCTGCCAAAAGGATGTGTTGTTGTGACCTAATTGATGAGCTATGAATATATGCTGGCACTTGCCAAACATTGGGATCATGTTGAAGTGGTCTACAACTCCCAAGTGTTAGACTTGCAAAGGCAACAGAGAGTATGAAGGATCTGGGGCTTTGAAAGAGCCAGTTGTTAAATTTGAAAAGTCATCTCTTCATCCTGTCCAATGCACTGGTGGGTTGAAAAGCTTACTGCAACTCTGGTCAGGATATGGAAAAGCTAATCTACTAGCATGCCCTTTCTATTTACTTTCTGTAATATATTCCATGTATAACACCAGTAGTTTATAATTTTGCATGGTCAATGTACATCATTAATAAGTAGCTTACCTTTGTATTGGGTTAGAGTGGTTGTTATTGCATGATATTTTTGTATTTTTTTATCATATTTCACATGACTCTCTGTGATTTTCATTTCTGAATAAGCTGTTCATTCCTGTACTTGCATGTTTTCCTCTTCCAATAATTTAAGAAAAAGCTTGACTTTGTTTCAAAAATCAGTGCATTTTGTCATGTTTCCATGTCCCAATGCTTCCATGCATCCTGTTTATCCAGCATGGGGAATTTCAGCTCTGTCTTTAAGTTTTCATTTGAAGCTGAAGATGTTAACTTACAAGGTAAGTTAGGAAAAAGTAAGCATCCATTTAGAAATAAATGAAAGAATCTCTCACTTTTTCAAGATCAACATCACTTTTGTAAAATTAAGTTGACATTTTAGTTATTTGATTTTTGATTTTTTAGAGTCATTTGGCTGGAGATTCTTTCTTGAAGCACAGGTTCATTTATACTGGTCTCTGGAATGGAAGCTATTGTTCAGTGTTCACTGTGAGTTGATAGATCTCTATAGGTCTTTTACCAACTTAAAGCCTAAAAATTCCAGCATATATCTTTACAGGAAAGAATGAAGTTTGCTGTACATTATGTGAGACCAGTTTAGCATTACTATGAATTTTTAATTGGACTGTAGTAAAAATCATTCACTATATTGTTATAGTGGTATGATGAGCAATACTTTCACAACATGTCTTTTCTTCCATTTCTTTAAAGGTGGTGTAATTGTAGGTGAGTTTATATAGATACAGATCTATGATTATTCTGGCCTTGTACATTTTTCATGTTGCATCAGATATGCAGCTTTGCTGAGGAATTCCACTGAAAAAAATGCTATTTTCTAAATTAAAAAAAAAAAAAAATCTGTTTTTGACATAATCCAGAGAAATCTACAAGAGACAGAAAGGGGTAGAATCTGACATATTTATTAAAAATAAAAAACCCAAAACTGCAGTGAAGGTTAAGAAAATGTGGAACATTTTTCTACTACTGATGTTTTCTAGTCATTATAATAAATAAATGAACAGGAGTCCCGTTATTTGAGAGTGTTGTGAATTCTGAATAAATACATTTTACTTATATAATAATTGACAGTGTATGTAATTCCTGTAAATATCATAATCTTCCATATAAAACTCACTACTTTTCTTGTCAAAGTGCCTTGGCCTTTAAGTTGCTTGTTGATGATAATTATTTGCAGGTAACACTGGCAACCAATGGCAAATCTGCAGACTTCAATGTTGTTGAAGAAGAGCCTTGGAAACGGGAAAACTAAGTGAAGAGATTCCTAGCTGCATCCTTAATAAATCCTGAAGCTATCTTGGGGCAGAAGATACCATGATTAAGAAGATTTCTCTCTCTTTTTTTTTTTCCCTATTTAACATCTACAATTTCTGCTTAATTTTGTAACTGAAACATAGCAAAGATCTCATCAAGTCATTGTAGCGTCTTTGCCAAGCAATGATCCATAGCCATCTGTCTCCCCTGTGTTACTGTTTGGATGATGCACCTGGAGAATGCTCCATGCAGTGCAATGTGCTCTCACCCACTTCCCCTTTCTTTCAAGACACAGAGAATGTAAATGCTGCAAAATGGGAAGATCAAAGTGCCAGTACAGTTCAGTACAGGGACTCAGGGTCACACATACAAGAGAAACATAACACCACGTAAGCCTTCAAGTGTTTCGGCGACTCTTGTGGCATACCTGATCTGTTTATCACTGTATGGCTAAAATACCTTTTAAAAACATCCGTAAAGATTTCCATTTGTTTTGATAATAACAAGCACTGTATTTTTGTGCCTAGTTGTACTTTAAACTGAGCTTAGATCTGGGGGCAGGATTAATGCATAGAAGTCAATAAATTGTCCCAGACATTTTGTTAGATCTGTACAACTAAAACTTAGCATCAAAAGAAGACCTTCAATTTCTATGTGCATGTGGTGTGTTTTTATCAGATGTCCCAGGGCAGGTGCAGCCTTTATTTTATGCTGGGGCTGTGCTGCTTTGTGACCACGATGCCCCATGCAATACAAGGCAGTATAATTACAGGGGTAGTAGTTCTTTCACTAAAATCTGTAGCTGATATGTAAGATACAGAAAACCATGGACTCAGTTGTGCCATTTTTAATCAAAGTAGGTGGTACCTTACTGTTCACCCTGCTCCACTGATGTCAGAGCGGTTTCTCACATGGATGAGATACTCAAGGTACTACTAAGATTGATTATGGATGTTATGATTAAGTACTTGATAATGAGCTGCAGACAAGTTCTGAATCCACTACTCTTACAGAATTTTTGAATGTCAGCATCAGGAGCATTTGCTATGAAGTGAAAGCCATCTTTCAAGTATGTCATGTTTCAGAGAGTGGCTAAATCCTGAATTCATTGCTAAACCAAATTCTGTATAAAGTTGAGAGAGTTTGTCCAGGGTTAGGACTGAATGAGAATGAAACCAGAATTTCAGGATTTAGGCCAGTATGTTGAATTGCATCTCTGTCTCTTTTGCAGAGTAATAAGTATATAGCTCTCTCATGTCAGAGAAATGTTTCTTTGAGCACATGGCATCTGAATTAATGAGACAGTGTTTGATCAACATACTATATCTGACTCAGCCTGTCAAAAGAAATTGCAGTGAGAATAAACACCTTGTGAAATTTTTTTAAAGGTGCTTGTTAATACTGAGCAATTTTAAGATACTGGTGAATAACATTATGCTGTTAGCAGTGTTCCACAGCAAAGCTGAGCCACTGTGATCTTGGAAGGTTCTTCTCACAGAACAAGCTTTGTGCAATTTTGGGGGGAGCTCTCAGAAGTTTTCAGAATGAATCATAATATAAGCATTTGATGAACCTAAAAATGGCAAAAAACAGAGTTCAAACATTTATGGAAATAGGCCATTCAGACCTGTCATGGGTTTAAAGGGGAATAATGTGTTTAACTGTAGAGTGCTATTTGGCTCTGTAGAAGCTATTAAAGTAAAAATATAATCTGCTTTTGCTCATCTGCATTCATATCAATATCTCTGAAACTGCACACGGACCTAAGCCAGCCAAGGCTACTTGCATGAGTAATGATGTGCAAGATCAAGTCCATTGTCAGGGTATCCCTCATTTAAGCATTTATCTTGGAATATTTTTCTTACCACTGTTTTTTTGTCATCACTTGAATGCCATGGCCAAGCAAATCCTAAGCAAAATGGCCTATATAATTTAACCAATATTGAACCACTGTGAATTCTGTAGGCCTCTAACATGTATTAGAGGGGGAGGCCTTTCCCAAAGGCCTCCTGACAGATCTTGAGGATTTTTTTTTTTTTTTTGGTGAAGGCTGGAATTGTAGATTATTCGGAGAAGTGGCAGGCAGGTATTCTCTTTTCTTCAGGCATTGCTATTAGCATGTCCAGAGTTAACCTCTGTCTAGGCATTGCTTCCCAAGTAGCATTCACTGGGTTATGGGTCAGAAATGTACCTGGGATGGTGTGTAGGTACTGTAAAATGTTCCTTACTCTGGGGGTGCTGGCTTTCATCAAGTGAACTTTGTTGTCACTCCAGTGGTAGTTATATCCAAGAATGAACACACAGCATTTACCCCGATTTATATCCAGCATTCTTGAGCTGTTTCATGGCACAGCTCACCCATTAATAGATGACTTTTTGTCCTCTTCACCGCAGCAGTTTCTTAGGAGCAGCCACACCGATTGCTTGCATTGAAAGTAGCTTTAGAAAATTGGTCCATATACTTTTAGCTGTCATTTGAAACTGTTTAGCAGTTGGAAACAAACAGGAATGTCAGCAACATGTGACTAGGCAGCTCCACAAAATTACATATTGAGAAACACTTAGACTATGCTTACAGTTATCCACTTGGGATGTAATGCCCTTTGAAGAGTGCTTCTTTGGATGGAGACTAGGGAAGGAAGGAATGCAGTGCTAGAGAAACCCCACCCACAAATGGGAGGATAAATTTGGATCTTTTTGATAGGATTAGAATAGAAGACTGTGATTTTAAAGTGGTAATTCTGTAGATACAGTAACTCAGGGATTTTTCAAAATATAATTATGACGGTATTTCTCTATTTAAATGTGGATGTGGGAGAAGGAGAAATGTTGGATTTCATATATTCCTCTGCTTGTAGCCTGACTGAATATTTAATGTAGTGTTACTCCAGTGCAGCACTGTATTAAATCATCAAAAAGATTTCCATTTATGTGGGAAAATGTAACTCACTCTTGGCTTTCATTTCTCAATTTGCTCATTCCACGAGGCTGGGTTGCTACTTAACTAAATAAACAGAAAATAACCCAGGGACCGTCCACTTCAGCTAATCCAAGGTTCACGTTTCAGCAGGCAGTGCTGGTTACTTGCCAGCCTCCTTTTAGTTTCACTAGGGGTCTCAATGCATTAATTTGCATCTGGCAAATTTTTTGTATCTGTTCACAGTGCTGGGGTGGCAAAGTTAAAGAAAAAGCTCAGTGAAAAGTCATTTGGTTTCTGTGTAGTTCATATTAACATTGTTTTCTGCATTTGCTGCTCTTGTCAGTTCCCCCACCTTTGTCTGTGCATCTGTGATATTATTTGGCCTTTGATTGCTGGCAGCACATTGGCACATGGAAGAGTCTAGACCAGGGAAAGACTCATGCCAAGTGACATACATGCTTACACGTTCGCTTCATGCATTTGCTGCTGAAGCTGGGTCAGTATTCTCATAGTATCTGTTCATTGAAAGTAAAGCATGCCATATCTTAGAACTGCAGAACAGGTGGAGCACTTTGCCACTTCTTTCTTCATTGCTTCCCTTGGAAAAAAACATCTGCACCAGCCTTTTAAGAAATGTGTGTGGGTCTTATATACAAAGATTCTTCAAATAGGTGGGGCAAAAGCCACTTGGTACCTATTACAAGATGTGCTCTTTCCGTTCAAATTGGTGAGAAACTCATTATGTCTTTGAAAAACTGTTTGCAGTAGTAAAAACTGTTCCTGCATTGCTTTGACTACGTGAAAGCCCCACTGAAATCTGTGGGAGTCACAATGTTCCAGGAAAAGTCAAGTCCCTTCGTGTCTTTGTTAAGTTACAAGACATTTCACAATCCCATCCTAGGGAATAGTCTTTGTCTGCTATTTATAATGAAATTGATTCTCACATCCAAAGATTTCTGCCAAGATACTTCATTTATACCTAATTGTTTCAGTGCTACAAGTCCAGCACTGAATTTAAACCCAACACAAAAATAAGGAGCATTCTCATTACAGGTTTTTCCCATGTTTTTTTCTGAGATATAGCTGATTTCCATTTCTTTCTTAAAGCACACGGAATTTCAGACTTTATGCCACTTTTTAAAGTAGGAGTAATATCAATTTCTAATTTGTTTTCCGTCACTCCCAGGGTCACTAGTTTTTCAGAAGCAGACACGCAGAAGAGTAGACTTTTCATCTGAAAGCTGAGGCATCAGCATGTGAACAAATTTATTCTGGTGACTTGCCTGGATTTTCTTTGCTTCCTTGCCTTCACTTGTGTTATTGCAGCCTTGTTGTAGCAACACAGGAACAGTTGCACAAATCCCCATAACTATAGGCAACATTAAACCTCGCCTCTAACATTCACTTCTCTTTTTATATTTAAAAAGGCTCTGAGCTTTAGGACCTGGCTCAGAAGAATCATTTTGTGGAGACATAAAGGTATAACTGTTTCTCATCTTTCTAATTTCCATTCAGCTCTTTTTATTGCTGCATTTGAATTAATTTACAGAAGGATAAATAAGAGCACTTTATAAAAATGTACTGTAATATTATTCTGTTATGAGCCTGAAGAGTATCTTGATTTTATTACTGTGACTTTTAAGGCCACAATTTAGATATTTTTCGTATTAGCCATTATGATAGGTGTATAGTCCATTGGGACAGTTCACTTCAGCTATAATTCACCATATAAGATTATGTAGAAGTTCCTGTTCCCAGCAGAAAGCATTCTTGGAAAGAAAAGTTATTTTCTTCTCTCAAATAATATTGGTGACTTTGAAAGGAAAATATTAACCCAGTTTCCTTTGTCTAAAGAATAGTATAGAGAGTGTAGTTTCAAGTAGTAAAAAGAACAAAGGATTTACAGTAGTGAAGTGTCAAAGAAGGCAGTCAAGGTGTAAATGACTTTTTCAGCTTTGCAATGCTGTTTTTGAAAATGTTGCGTTCTTGCTCCTGATTTTCCTGAAACAATGTATTTGGTGCATATTCCTTCCAAAGTCATCAGTCTTTCTTCCCCCATGGGCCCCAAGGCTTTATCTCCCCCCAGACAATGACAGACCTGGGGCAGGGCTCCTGGAGAAGCCCCCAGCAGCAGTGCCTGCTACAGGCTCTACAGTGAGTGCCTCCCTCAGTTTTTCCTCCTGGTCATACTTTATGTTCAATGGAAATCTGCTGCTATGAGTGAGTCAAACCGCTGCTGATGTCCAGGTAATTCTTTTACTTCTCTTTTGAGTGGCCTCCCTGGCACAAGGCTCTGAGGAACTGTCCCTCACAGGTGCCCACCATCCCAGAGACATCTTCTCCTGTTTAGGGGAAACCCAGTGACTTCCCACTAACAGTTAATATAAATGTAACAGAAAAAGTGGTTATGCAGTTGCAACTATGAGTCTTACAAATGAACCAGGTTACAAACATTGGAAAAGCACAGAGCACGACTGAGCCACTGAGTAGGTCTCTATTAGTCCAGGATGGAAATAACCAACAGCCTATGCAAGATCTGGGGAGACAAGAAGACTTGTGAGATTTCTCACTTAACCCAACCTTTGATCTCCTTTCATTCCTAACTCCCTCCTGCTGCAGAGCCAATGCTGATCGATGCTAGAGCATCCAGTGCTTCTACTCAACATTCAGGAGTCCTGCCACTGTTTTTAATGATGCCCTGTGGCACACACCATTGCACAAAGGGAAGCTGTCATAGGCAGCATCATACAGCCTGGATTGTCTTGTACCTGTATATTGCTTTGTACATAAATAGTGTAGTCTGCTGGAATTTTTGTTATTCTTTTCCATTCTTTATTTGTTATTCTTTTCCATTCATTTTTTCTACAGTTTTTCGAAGACCGTAAGCAAACTGTGCTTGCATATTGATTTTGCAGTCAGTGTTGTAGGTTATAGCATTTCCATGTAGGCATTTTTCATGGACTTGTGAGTTCTTGTGTACTACAGGTTGTCCTATATACTTAAAGACAACTGCATACACTTCCATCCAGTATATCCTGCTCCTTTCTTAAATATATCTTATTTCCTATGATCCGGTATGAACTCTTGCTTGTAGAATGCATCAGAAAAAGCTGAATATGTATTTATAGTGTTAAATATTGTGTGCTCAACACTGATTTAATTAAGAATAATACAGGTTTTAGGGGTTTGTACTTGTTCTCTGGAAACTACAGTGTAGACTGAATTAAATTACCTAGTATCTGTAATTTACAGACACACAAATATTTTCTTAGAATGTTTTCTATGGGATCATATTAGGTAGGGAAATAATCCTTTAAATGTGATCTATACCTTAGAACAAAATCAATTTTCTTATGACCTTTAGGATCAATGAAATATTTTTGTGTTATGTTTGGTGATGAATTATAGACAAAGCACAAAATGCAAGAAGCAAATAGGAATTTCAAGATGTCCTTAAATGCTGCAGTTCATCATGGAACAATACTATAATAATCTGAGCAATCTTCTAGATTGACTGTCTTGGGCAATCGTCCCTCACTTTTATAATTTTTCCTGGTGTTACCTTTGCCAAATCCTGCAGTTCTTCCTTAGGACCTGTTAATGTATAACTGACTGGCTCAGAACGCAGTTTATAGAAAATAGACCTGGGTAGGCAAAAAGAATATGTTGTCAGCCCCCATCCATCTTGCTACAATACAGTGTGTGTGAGTTCAGCCTGTGGAAAAAGTTCAGGATTTTGCCACCTAATTTTGCCTTCTTGAAAAAGGACCAACAGAACCACCATGGGACCAATGTAACTGGGTAGCATCCATGCAAATACCTCCTGTTTTCTTAAGTATTTTTAAGAGAATAACCACTATATTTTTCAACCCAAATGACAGTTACTTCTCATTTTGGTAATTTCTTCCCATTAGGCAAATACCTGTTGGCATTAAGGTCATGGCTATAATAATTTCAACTTAATTAATAAACAAATGTTTCTAGAGGAATAAAAATAAAATAATATGAGTATTCATAACAACTATATAACAAAAAAAAAATCTTCTATGGCCTACTAGCTCTTTGACTGTAATTCAAAACAAAGAGAACATTGAATAGGAAGGACTGCTGTCCCAGTGTGACTGATACTGGGTATCTCTTCAGCTATTCAGAAATCTGTGGGGCCATGTTATTCTGCTGAGGTTTTGGAGCCTAAGTTTCTAGTAGATATATATGTAGGAAGTGTGTTGATATACCCTTGTATTTTGATCTATATTGTATTTTAAATCAGATGTAACAGGTATTAACTTAATAGGAATTGCAGGTAGAATAGTGCTGAGTTACTAATAGCTGTAAAACCTTATTGATACCAGTTTTGACATTTTGTTGAAGCATGATGTCCAGTGCCTCTCTGCACTTAGTGTAGATAATGTAGCTATCAACACGTAATTTCAGTGAAATGGTGTATACAGTATGTGTAGCTGTGCTTTAAATTAATTTAATTGGTATCCGTGTGTTGAGCCATAGTAGAAAATTAGACTGTGTTTTAAAATGTTGTTTGACTTTCTGTTTTTCATTTGTATCTGGGTTTGTTTCTTTTTGACCTTTCAACTGATTAGATTCCACAGCGTAGTAACTACTTTATCTGTCTCTTATGGAGTACCCAGTTTTAATAACATTCAGAATCATGTATGCAGCCAGCTCATTGTAAATATGTTAATTTTAGTTTTCAGTATCTAACCAGTATGGTGGGTGTTAGAAGCTGCATGTGTGTAGTTCCCTGGCAGTGAGTGAAAGTGATCCTAGCATAGATTTGCTGCCTGGTGAATACACTTGTTATGACCTAAAGAATTAATGTTCAACTGGAATGATAAGTTTCTGTTTTATTTTCTTCTTGTTTGCTTCAAATGTTTGGACTCTTTACGACCAGAATCTTAGTAAGTCACCATTTCAATTGGCACAGTGAATGAGGGGAAGTCCATCTAACTGCATTCCTGTTGGATGCCCAGACTGCTTTTGGCTCTGTGCATCATTCAGCCCTTAGTCACTCATGGCATCACAGGATCCCTCTGAGTCACTTCCAGTTACTCCTTGACCACAGATGCCAGGAAAGCAGGGCAGTCCCTGCTGTGACTGGGCAGGCCTGCAGGCAGCAAGGGGCTGCCAGTTCTCTCCAGAGTGCCTGAGGAGTCCAAGTAGGAGCCTCTGCTTCATCCCCTTAGCAGGAACAGTCTCTGAGAAAGATGAATACTCATGGGCAAAGGGGCACTGTTTCTTTCATTTTTAAAAAGGGATATTAGCATTTATTGTAAAATAAATGCCAAACTAAATACTTCTAAAGCTACTGTAGTTGTTGTACGGGCCTGTTATTTACAAAAGTCTAGTCATAAAAAAAGACAGATCAACTATGTAGTCAGTGGCAAAAATCTTCTGAAATCAGAGCTACAGTTCAGATCTGTGAGAAAATAGAACCTTGCAGCAACAGGAAGCTGATCCATTCCTAGATACTCTGGACCTGGATCATATAATCATCCCCTCTAGGCAGAAAGAAATAAAAATTAGGCCCCAAAGCACAGAAACTATCCTGCTTGGTGAGCCCCACTATGATGCTTCAGGATGAATTGCACACTGGAGTACTCTGTGCTGCCTGCTCATTATCCCTTCCCCTTCTTTAAGGTGACCAGGCATGAACTGGAATGTTTTGAGATGTTCTATTGTAAAAAGGATTAAAAAGAGGGATAAGGTTGGTCTTTACACTCAGAAAGTTCCCGAGATTTTGAAATTATGTACTGTACAGTATCTATAGCACAGTTTGTTTAGAAATCAATAAATGCAGATGGCAAAATTTCTCCCAACCCTGGGCTCTGTTCTTGTATATTGTAGTTGGAATGCCCTGTAGACTGATTCTATTTTTGTAGTTCAGATCCTTTCCTCTTTACAAGGATTGTTACTCATTTGCTTTTAATGCTTTCTTACAGAGTGAACTGATTTCTGTAACTTTCATGTATAAAACAAACTAGACATTCTTTCTATACTGGAAATAGTCATGAATATAATATTTCACTAAGTGTTATACCTCTTATGTACATATCATCAATAAATGTTGATTCATAATTTTCACGGTTTACATCTGTGAGTTTTCATTCCAGCCTGGGCTCAATATGGGAATGCTTTGTGTAGGAGTTTAGACACAGCAGTCTGATGAGAGAGGCTGCCTGTTCTGAGAACTGCATGCAGGGTAGAAGATGGACCTGATTTTGCAAAACAGTAACAGATCTCACCCCTCGCTTTGTCCTCCAAATATTCCAGGATGCTGGCTGCAAATGAGCTCATTTTCCACAAAGGCCAGGATTCAGTAACTTCAGTTTTTGGCAATGAAGCCTAGAGAAGTGAAAAGACGTTAGAAGAGTAGGAGGACACAAATCAATGGCTGCAGTTGCTTTAAAAACCTACTTCCCTCCCCTGGCTGCTAAAAAATCAATCTTTTATTCATAGCCTTTCTAAAAAACAAAATAAACAAAGCCTGTAGCGGAACTTCTGGAGTTCTTTATAGAGAAATTGACAGTATTTAACATATAAATTAAGAGATCTCATGGAGTGAAACGTGGCCCAGTGGAGAGGCAGTTGCCAAGTATGGAGAGAAAGCTCCAACGTTTATGCAAGCCCGGAATAGCAGCGCTCCGGAAATAGCACAGCTACCGGTGTGTGATAAAGGCACAACCGAAACCTCGGCTGGGAGGACTAACAGTGTGCACAGCCCTTATTTCTTCTTAATCATCCACTTGAGAAATTTCCAAAGAAATCCAGGCATGGCAGGAAGTGGCTTTGGCAGTGCCTCAGCTGGCAGTCTGCCCTCTGAGTCAGTAACGAACTAAGTCCTGATGTGGTGCTAGGAGAATCTTTGGGCAAAAAGTAAACCTGATTTACTGAAATAGTAAATCTATCTGCTGCCATTTTGATACCAGAGCAAAAATGTCCTGACCTGCCCTCATCAACAAGTGTTGTTAATAAATGCATTCAGCTAATATAAAATTCCTTGCTCAAGTTTTTCCAGGATGCCCATCACTCACATACTTCATGTGCATTCTGTACGTTCAAACTCCTTCCATAAAAGGAATCTGTCTGTTCTTCTGTTACACATCAGAATAAAAGTTTAAAGTCTTGATGCCAACCAGTGTACGTTGCTTTTTTTGAAGCAATGTTTCTGCAAAATGACTTAAAATTACCAACCCATGCAGGAACTAGTGCTGCAATTACATGAATCTGACTTTTCTGAAAATACAAACCCCAACGGCTGATTCTCTAAGCCCTTGCAAGTTCCTTGTACCCCTTTTCTCCATGTCCATAGCCTTTGAGAAAAAGATTATTTCAGAAGCGTGTTTGTGTCTGGAATGTGTTCCTCTCTACAGGAAAGAATCTGCTAAAAGGGGCTATAAAAGCCAGTGAGTTATGAATCATGGACCCATATTAAGAGATGTTTGTGTATCTCCTCTAAGGCATGAAAGAACAACTGAGATAATACTTCGGGGTTGTTAGATTGGAAACAATCTTCTCCTTTGTATTAGATAGTACAGGTGAACAGGACAAGGTTATGAAAGAAACAGGTGGCCCCAACGTACAGTGCTTTAGGAGGAAAACAGCATTAAGAATTACACTCAGTTGGGCTGGAAGGAGTTACTTGCAGCAAGCACTTGCATTGCAATAATGTAAAAATACCCCAGCAGGGCTTGGTGCCATTTTGCTTCCAAAGCTGTGCAGAGCCCTGTGCAGGCCCAAGAGCTGAGGCACCTTCCCAGGCCGGGCAGGTGACTGCTGCTGTCTCACTTGTGCAGCGTGCAGCGGAGGCTGGGAGGAAAACAGATTGCATGCAAGATACGGGCTTGTGGGCATGGTGGTTGGGGCAGGCACATTCTGTAGATGTGTCTGTGTACACAGATAAATGACGAAACTGGCTGCTGCCCACCAAAACTACAGGAATAAGGTCTGGAGGAGCAAGGCCTCACACTCTTGGTAGAGCTTCTGAAATACAGGGATGGGCATTTAGAAAAGCAACATGGGGTCTGTTTTGCACAGCGTCGTGCTCTTCATTCTCATTCGTGACTGAACTAAAAATGTTTGCTTTTCATGCAGTCATTTGTAAAAGAGGTCAATCTCCCATTTGGCTGTTTTCTTACTGGGATGCCTGAAGATGCTGCATGGATCACTCTCTTGTGATCCCTGGACGCCACTTGAGAAATACTGCTGTGCAGATGTGCACGGCAGAAAAGGCAGCTGCCTCCCAGTGCAGTGAAGGCACAAGAAGAGGGACCAAGCAGGGAAATGCACTCAGAATTTATTCCACTATTTCACCCAGATTACTGGTGTTGTCTAAATTGACTGGATCATTTCAGCTTTGTTTCTGAACCAGGCTTCTCCCATTTTTGACCAGCCAGTAAACAATGGGCAGGCTTTATACCTGTCCTCTTCATGGGCAGAGGGAGGAAGTCAACCTTCTTGAACAAAGGGTAAGTTTGTTTTTAAATCACTGGCTGAACAAACAAGCATCCCTACCCTGAGTTCATTTCAGACTTTGACTTGATAAATGAAAGAAAGATTAACTAGAAAACAAACCACTAAAGAGCTGCAGGAAATACCCAAGAACTGTAAAGCTAGGTGAATCTGAAGACCTACTGCTGGAAAACAAAACATGCTGAACTGAGGAGATGATTTGAACAGGTTTATAGGAAGACAAAGTCCATGTACTTGCACACGAGGTTACAGATAGACAGGCAATGCTTGAACAAAGCCAACATGGAGAATAATTTGTGGATCCAAAGAGCAAAAGGAGCCCAGCATTTGCTCTGAGCTTTGTATCACTGATGGCTCTGGTCCACAGCACATGCAGGAACATTCTTCTCTCTCTTGGTGTGCTGTTGTCAACTGAGATCACTGAGTCTCATGTATGGGGCTCAGCTGTCATAAACTCAGCTGCAGGAAGCTGTCTCTCTAAGCCAGCTCTGGTGAGGTGCTGCTAGCAATCTGCAGCAGCAGCCCTGAACAGGATGCTTGCTTTTTAAAAAAGTACTTTGATTAAATACAAATATTTGTATTTAACTCAGAATTTAACTCCCATCATGGGGCAGAACAGTTTATTACTGTTTCTTATGAGAAAAATGGAAGTGTAGAGTCTCAATTCATGCAAAGGAAAATGTGGTCACCGAAAATGATCTAAGAGGTCTTTTTTCAGATTTACACAGGAAAGAAAAGCCTTCTGCCCTGCCAGAAGCTAGATGATGACTAGATGATACACACCATGACTACAAGTAAATTTAGAATTAAAGCTAAAACTCAGCTGTACCAAAGCCATTTAAACAATTAATACACTTCTACATGAGACTTCCAATATGGGTGTTAAATCTGAGTCCATCCTACCACAATTGCCCAAGACAAGGTTTTCAGGTGACAGGTACAAAATTTAGAGCCTCCAGAGAAGTGTAAAATGCCTTATTGCATCCTCCTCTGTCCTGGGTTGCTCTGAGAGTCACAAGGACTTCAGGACAAACACAGCAGACCTAAAAGTTTCTGGACATACAGAGTCTCCACTGCCTAGGAGCCATGTGCTGATTTACCACTTCCAGCCTACATACCCCTAATCTCAGCTGTGCCTCAGCTTCAGCAGCAGCAGAAAGCTGCTGTTGACCTAAATTCTAAGTTAAGTGGGTGTTTGAGTGAGACTTTTCCTAAATTTTCTGAAAAATGCTGCAGGCTTTTCTGATTAATGCACTTAAATTTATGATATCTTAGATTCGAACAATTCTGTTTTGTGGTAAATTTGCACATCTTTTTTTCTAGTGGTACCATAAATTACTTCTAAGAATTTCATTTTAGCACAAAGGGAAACCTATACTATGTATTAGACATGGAGAATCTTCCTCTAACCCCTGAAAAAAAAAAAAAAAAAAAAAAAAAAAAAAAAAAAAGAACTTTGTACAGCTGTATCTTCTATCTGGAATATTAAAACTAGCTGAAACTATGTCTGTTTCTGAGAAAAAAAATCTTCTTTTTTGACAGTTTTTGTGGACTTATTTTGATTGAAAACTTCATAAGTTTTAAAATTTTCTTTTAAAGAAAAACTGAAGACATTTACATCAGTGTTCAATGCACACCTTTTTGTGGCAGAGAATGTATATAAAGGTGGTCTCATTCCCCCAATTTTTCATCCAAAACCCTTTTGCCTGTAGAGTAGGAATAAATAAATTCATTTTAATAAAACTTTTTAAATAAAAAATCTGAGAGTCCTTGAAGGTGTCACTCAGACAAAACCTTTCTCTTGGTTGCTGGAACCATCCAGCCAAAATTGAAAGGGTGTGTTTAAAGCATAGGTAAAGCTTTCACTGCCTGTATTTACCTGCACTTTAACAATAATCAACTGTCTTGAAGTCAGGAGAGCTGCTTTGGTGGTGGATTCTCTTCTACAGTTTTAATTTTAAAGCCCCTACACAGCAGCTCATTTGACCAATGTGGAGATCTGTATCAGTCTTGCACTTTCAAAACAGAAAGATAAACAAGAGGTGGAATTGTCTCATCCCACTGTAAGAGGAGTCAGGGAGGATTCATTTTGATAGATTTCTTGGATGAAAATAATGCCAAAAAGCAGCAAATATTCAAGAACCATTTATTGATGGAGAAAGGATATGGTTCTGACCTGAGTGGGATAAAAAAGAGACCAGAGAGAGAAAAAGGGAGATGGGAGAGAGTCACTGCTTTTATCTGCCAAGGCAGATAAATGGAACTGCCCACAGTTCCACTTCCCAGGCATCCTTGACACCTGCCATGTGTTAGGGCTTTCAGCACATGTAGTAATTTTTCACCTCACGTGTAATATATGTTAAGGCATAAATAAAAATCAATCAGTCCCTCTTAGAAATGATTTTGAAATCTTGCCTTTATTGACCTTACTCCAAAGGGGTGAGAAAGAGAAGACAAAAAGTGCAGTCTCTGTACTGCACAAAACACACTGTTACTCATCTTGCCTAATTTTGCCTCCCCTCATTGCCACAGCTGCTTGCCCCCAGCATGAGGGATGCCACATGCAGCAGGGCATAGCAACAGTGAGAAATAAGCTACCAGGGGAAAATTCAAACTCAGTTTGCAAATGAGGTAGTGGATGTAGAGGATGACTTGGAGGTGGGGAGGTTCACAGGAAAAGGCTCTTTTTTCCTACTCAGAGTTGTGAAACATTCAAGTGCCGGGGTGCTGGGGGTGTTGAAGGTACTTTCCCAGCTGTAGTACAGAAATTTCACTCTCCCTTTACATCCTTTCCCAGAAATTGTGCTCTCCCTCTGTCTTGAATCCCCCAGATTCAGGCCCAAAACACCTTTGTACAATTTTTTCCACCTTAAGGAACAGGAATTTTGTCACCCACTCCCACACAGCTGGAACCGTGCCCCAGGGAACAGCCTTTTCCTGACACCTTTTGTCCTTTTCCCCTCCACAGAGAAGAGATAGTCAGAACCTGTGGTTACCAAAAGGGCTGGTATTTTACTAATCAGAGCTCTTGCAAAGACTCAGAGGCATTAGACCCTTGGACTGCTTAATAAAGCTTAAGAAATAATTATTGTCTAATGGCCTAATATAGCTTAAAATAAACCCATTAACTGCTCACTTACAAAATACCATGGTGTCTTTGTATGTGAAGGCAGAGCACAGTTGTCAGAGGATTTATTTCCTTCATCTACAGAAAGAATAATTAGGACCAGCCCTAAGCAGAATGATATGTGCTAAAGAGACACTTGGCATTTGTCTCCTAAAAATATTGCAGGCAATTGCTTTAAACTAATTAGTACAGAGGCTGTTATTGTTGACAAGGGACACACAAAAAAACATCCCTATCATGTGAAAACCTGCAAAAGTACAATTTTGGAACTGGTATTGTGGAAAGGGTTTCACATCCACAAAGGTAGACATGACAGCTGTACATCCTTTCTCTGCTTTAATCAAGTATTCCTCAGAACTTCAAGAAAATACAAATAAAACAATCAGCCTGCATTGCTTCATGAAAATATCACATTCCCATAAAACATACAGAGACTGTCTTAAATATGCTTGCTGCTTTAGACAGTATTCCACTGCTCTGGATCACATTTATCTGAAACTTTTTAAGACAAAGGAATAACAGAAGCTGATCTCAGGCTCCTTAGCATTTTTAGGAGAGATCCTCATTCTTCCTAGGCACCAAGCAAGGATAGACTAAGACACAGTGAGATTTGTCAGTCACAGCTGATTTGTCTGTCAGAACCCAGAAGGAAGGGCTGCATCTTGCCGGGTGCTGCACTCTTCAAATGTTGTTAATTCAGTGAGCCAGGAATGGTCGTCAAGATCTTAAACTGAACCGAGTTGTTGTAGCTCTTGTCTGCTTCTGGGGTAAAGCTGAGCTCATCACTAACTCCCAGAGCATCCGTGGAGCCTGGGGGAGGCCAGCAGAGCAGACAAGGTCACACAGCATTCACCTCAGCCTGGCTTGGAATTTGCAAGCAGGAAAAATTATCACAGCACTCAACATGACTATCCACTAACTAACTAACTTCTCTCCCACTAACAGCTGGACATACATTTCATCCTCAGTGTGGAAACAGATTTATTTTGGAAGCTTATTTTAAAGTCCAATATGTTTTTAGCAATACTATTTCTAGTTACAATTTAGAGATGGCATTTTCTTTAATTCTGATTAATCTGTTAAATAAATATGCAAATATATCAAGTGCTCTATATAAAAATACACAACAAACAAACAAACAAACCCTCATAATAAAAGCAAGATGAATAAAAATATGTACTGTATTATACATATGAAATGGCCATCTAGTTTTGAAACTATAGTGAAACAATTACACATAAGTCACAGGACATAATCTAGAAAGTATCAGCATATATAAAATAATGGCATTGCCTCTTGAGCATCTCTCATTTAAAAATATACAAAGAACCCAACCAGTGTTGCCTGTGCTTTTGTAGCTACTAACTATAAGATAAATTATGAAGAAGTTTGCATATTTCTTCATTCAGCATCTGAACAGGAAGATGAATGATGTGGCACCGATTTTTTGGTTTTTTAAAAGAGAAGTTTAGCCTTCAAGACTGTGAAATACATCCTTCTCACTAAGACCTATATTCAGTTAGGATTTAAAGATTTTTAATTCTTACTCTGGATCTCCATACTTAGTGGAATGAGTACGTAACAGCAGTTGAAACACAGCCTTCAGCAGATCAGTTTGATTTCTAATGACGAATAGAAAGGTGTGCCTAAAAACATTAAACAAAAACCAATGCACTGTTCACAGATGAAATATCTGACCTGCATAAAGTCAGAAAACATCCTATGTGTATTTTAAAACATCACCTTGTCTTGGGACTTTTTGCCCAGGTGTAAATTGCCCTGAGGAGATCTGCCAGCAGATACCAGGGCACTTGAGCATTTCCATGCAGCACATGGGAAACTGCTGGAGGGCTGTGACTCGGAAATATAATCAACAGTCTTGTGCTTTATGTTCCAGTAAAGACCAGTGCTAGCTAAAGTCGGTACTTAGCCAGCTGAATGTTCATCCTCCAAACTGCTTCAGCTGGAGAACACAATGTAACAAACTTTAGCCAAACAGTTTCAAAGACAGGGGCAATGGTCAGTGAACAGAACTCTTGTACAGCCCTGTACAGACCATCCACATCCCACAGCTGATTTTTCCCTACATTTCCTGTGGGGAATCCAATTAGAAGTTACAATTCTCCCTCCATTCCAGCAAGCTTTCTTAAAAATGGCACAGATCACTGGTAGTAAATAATTTTTTTCCTGACAATTCATATCAATATAATGCACAGCATCATAGCTTAATACAAATACTTCACATAACACACATAAAAGGATGTAACAAAAGCATGTAACAATGCAGCTCAGCTACTCTACTATATTACATGGCTGGGAAGAGTTTCATTTGCTTTGATCTTTTCTGTAGAAATTTAACTTCTGGTACCAAAAAGCAAGCAATATTTCTTTTTGGTGTTTTTGGAAAGCTGATGGAAAAAATGTAGATGAAGTAGAATTCAGAGGAAATGAGGGAAATCATAGAAAAGCAACTTTTATAATATCAGCAATCTCATATAATGTAATAGTTATAGGGGAAAAAATTTAATAGGCTCAGCATCTCCTTAGTAAAATGGAGCAGAATATAGAGACCTATTTTCAGGAGTAAAATACTGTCTGCTTCCCTGGTGATCTCAATTGCTTGATTTGTGCATATGTGATAGAGCTGGGGTCATTTTTTTTATTATTCATTATCTTAACTAACAGGCTCATTAAAAACATGCACAAACTTGGACCAATGAATGAGGCTGGGAGAAGAACAATGAACACTTCAAAAATGGAAGGATAATTGTACAGGTTGCCAGGATAATAAAGAATAGAAGTTTATTATGTTTCAGCTCATGTTTTCATGCCTTTATTACCCCTCCAGAGAAGACTTGTCCACAGATATGGACTATGTCCATAGATATTTAAAAACAAAGATAAATAAACTCCGTCCTTCTGGATTTCTCTCGTTGCAGACCAAGCCACATGTAATTATAAAATGTCACTTTTTGTTTATACAGGCAGATTCTGAATGTACCCACTGCTATTCCTGGCTGGAAGGCATTTCTGAAGGATTTTGCTGCTGCAGACATTGTAGAAGATGCCTTTTGGGTTGAAATTTGGTTTTTTTTACTCTTGACATTTTTCCTCACTTACTTCTGTGCCATGGCATGTTTAATACTTTAAATATCTGTAAGATGGAGTGACTGGATACTTCGTTAGCTCCACACAGTGAAGACCTTCCATCTGGGGAATAATGATGTAAACTTGTATGCCTTCTAACATCCAGGACACAGTGAGAGTCCTCTGCGAAGGGACTGGGAACAGAAAGCATTATGCAACTCTTGGGGGTGTATTTCAGAAAGCACATGTCAATTTTTAAACTCAGGCATCATTGCAAAGTGATTAAAAAGAAACAGAACTTATGCTTATGTTCAAAAGACATCAGTAGCACAGTGCATCTGTGAATTCCTGTTCAAGTTCCATGTGATTTTGGTTTCCCCAGCCCTGATCTGCTTGGCAGTGTGGTACCATTACACTCCAGTCTTCATCTCCAACTCGTGATGATTTTGTGTTTCATTAACAGTCAGGAATTCATCACATGCTTGTGTTCGGTCATTTGACTGTTCTTTATGAACCAAGTGCACCATTTCTTGTGATTTGCTGATATCTCCATTTAATTCACTTGTCTTCCTGTCCTCCACTGCCCCTTTGCCATTGTTAATCACTAGCTTTTTCTTCTGCCCACATCTAAAAAGAAATAAAAATTAAATATTATAAATAGAGTCTAAGAAAAATAATAAAAAACTGAAGGTCAATATTTAGGAAAAGGTGATTGGAAATTAAACGTGTGTCTGCCAGTGCAGACTTACACCATACAAAGCACAAAGCTTCTCCATACAGCATATTTTATTTTTGAAAGCATCCATCATTATATGCATAAAATTTATCAGGAGCTCACTTATGTAATTTGTATTTACTGTTAGTACATGGTAGCAATAACATTCATTACTGAAGGCTAGAAAATTTTTTTTCTATCATTTGAATTTATCAACATTTATGAACTTTGTAAATAGCCCTACTATGAGGACACCTTCAAAATCCAGGCTTGGGACCACAGCTTTGAAAATGCACAAATTCTTAAGCAAGCAGAAAATCTGGATCAAGTTCTCACCTCATTCAACAAGACAACTGTTTTTTCCTTTGTATTAGCATGTCAAGCTTAGAAGCCAGCCAACAGTAAGGAAATACAGAGAACTACTCTTGCTGCTGTTTGCAGCAGAGTTCCTTGTGATGTTCAGGTAGGAAATAGGTGCTGTGTTTTTAAAGTTACACTCGCTGCAGGGCTGTCCAATAAACCTTATATGTAGCTCTGAATTAAAACACATGCACACACGCAATCTTTTAAAGAGTCACCAGTCCATATCTGATGCACTGGTTATTGTGGGCTGGGTATCCTTCAGCATAGTAAAAAAGCACTACTTGCACAGCTGTCATATTTACTGTTTAGATGACTTTCTGGCTACACAGCGCTGGGCACCCTGCTTGTCCTCAAACAGCCTTGTGTAAATTGAATATGCAGAGCCCAGCATGCCTAAGAAGGACAATGTGTCTGTGAAGTTGGACTTTTAAGTGCTTTCTTCTTAAATGAAGCATATTTTTTTCCTGAAGGTCTGATCTGGCTGTTCAATTTTAATATTATGCTTCTGAAATACCATTTTTTTCATGACTACTGACTCACAGATGAGGGTTATTTTATCTGAAGTAGCTTGGTTCACTCTGCTAATGCTACACACACCCTTGGGAATGATTTCCTGCTCTGCAGCCATAAAATGCCAAAAGACGCCTGCAAGGAGCTGTGGAGCTCCACAGCCTCTTAAAGAGCAGCTCAGAGTGCTCTGCAACCAACAGACTACGAAAAAATGTGCTCACTGCTTCCTGCACAAAAATCTCCACATATTATATGGTCATTCTGAAAAATATGGAGTTAAAATCCAACATTCAAGTAGCAAATAGTTACTCTGTTAAAAAGTTCAATCTTAAAATTCAAGTAGCAAAAGGCTGTTGAAGACAATTGGGGAGTAACCTCAGAACAGGCCCCAGAGAAAAGAAAGATGTAAGAATATTACAGCCCATCCTTCAGGCTTGGGTTTTTCCAATTTCCCAGCTAACTTTGCACAGATCATTTCTTTTCATCCTCAGCTTCCTCATCTGTAAAATGGAGTACGTGAAGCTACTGAGAGCTCGGAGAGCAATGTTAGCATATATGCTTGTGACTGCCAGCTGTGATACTGGCGCCTGTTCAGAAGAAAGAGAGTAACAGGCTGTGATGGTCTAAGACAGCCCTTCACACTGCACACAGACAACACCTGAGAGGTGGAGGATTATTCCTGGCTCATCCTGTGGTTGTTACTGTCTATATTCATCTCACAACTTCCACTCTCTGTGAACATGATTTTCCCATTAATAACTAATAGAGAGTGTAATTAATTTCCTGTGATCTACACAGAGTTCGTTTCCATTTGAAAGAGTAAACAGTTCATATAGGTGCTGACTTCATGTGAGTGTTTCCAGGTGAATGTGAAGGCACCTGTGCAGGACATGGTGACCTGGGTCACCACACTACAAGCCACAGAGCTTTGCAGAGGATGCTCTTTCCTGTGGTTTGCTACTCTGCCCTTTGAGAAAGCTTTGGAGACTCTCAAGGAAGGAAAAAGTAAGGCAGTGTGTTTTGGAAATATAAAGCGGGGGCCTTACCTTCTGCGACTGTTAACAGCAATGCACACTGCAAGGATCACTGCAAGCACCACCAGAGCAGCCACGATGATCAGCCAGTCTGCAGGGACAGGTGAGGGAGGGGAAGAGAGTGTGTGAATGTAGCTAATGAGGGTTTGCCATTTCACAGAACTGCAGAAACACCATCTCTTCTACTTCCTTTCAGATGTCACACTCTTTTCCTAGCTCCCGTGAATGTTTGTCTGGTGTATAAAGTCTTTCCATGCAAATCAAAGACATTTTCATCACTCAGATATACACAGGCCAGCTCAGATTAAATACTCCATCACTGTTGTCACCTGCAAGCACTTTGGTGGGCATAAGTGAAGAGGAGCTGTTTCACTGATTTACCCCAATGGCAAAAGAAAAGGCTTAGCATGACACACCTACAATCTCAGGCACAGAAGCAGGATGAGTTTTAGCACATTTTTAGTACAGCAGGTTTCACAACCTTCCCAGTAGCTTCCTCTCTACTACCATTATACCTCTGCTACCATTACAGATGGGGGTCCTCTCCCAAGAGCTATGTCCTGTATTTTCTTAGTTTGAAAAAGCTGTTCCTTGTTTAACAAGACTCATACATTTAATTTGCAACAAATTACCTCTTCTAATTAGTTAATTATTAGTACTCCATGGTGAAAAACTGATAGGCATTATTTTCGTAGCCTGCTCTTCTTATATCTCCCTTCAGTTTTCCCTGCAAATGATGAGTTCTTCAAAAGGTGCTCCAAAGGTTAGCTTCCCAAAATTTTCTGTGTGCTCTTCTCCATTTTTTTCCCATGTGACTAATGCAATGCCTTGAACTGAACACACAGTCTCAGCTCTGGACTTGCTTGGCCTAAGTACAGTGGGATAATTACTTTCTCTATTTTAAAAATGACTTTACCACTAATAAGTTCCAGAATATATTTGCATTCTTTTGCAGCTGTATCATGGTGCTGGCTTCCTTTTATCCTGTTTTAGTCTGCACGCTCTCTTCTGGAGAGCTTGTCTCAGATGTTATTTTCTCTGAACATTCTCATGGATATGATACTATGCATATAACTTTACTGAGTTTTGCCTGTTTCCATTTCAATTTATAAAAGTTAATTGAATCTTAATCCCATTCCTCAAATGCATGATTTCTCTCATCCTAATATTGATGAAAAATTATGAGTTACAACATGCTCAGTCTTTCAGACTACTTGTCAAATGCTTAATATTATCTGATTCAGAACAAAGGCTGAACAACTGCATTAGACCTTCATTTTCATGTCTTACTTCAGTTCATATGAAGACAATTCTGTCCTTGGATTTTTAAAACATTTGACCCACCTGGTACACCGGCCGCCCTTGGCTGTGAATCTATTTTTGTTGTGGCGGTCCCTCCGGGGGAAGTAGTGGATTCATAATGTCCCTTGTGTGGTGCTTGGGTAGAGCCTAAAGAATAAAAAATCCCATCCATTAGACTAAATATGCTTGATGGCTATTTAACAGCAACATATGAAGACTGCAACTTAAACAATGTAAAAACTGTACTCTGTAAAGTCCACGCTGAAGCAGTTAATTAGTGTTTATACCGAAAACTATCACATAGACTATAAGCATGACACTCATCTGAACTACAGCTAGTTTATTATTTTGAGAAGAAAAACTTATGGCTTTCCTCTCTTGTCTCATGTATTTCAATTCTATTCTGACACAGGATAAAACTGAACACCTAAAATTCTAATGCTGTCATAAAATTGAACAATAGTTCTCTGAATGCTTGTGACTTTGGCAGCTATAGAGTGGGACTCTAAAAATTAAAAGTATTTTTTTCTAATAGAAAAAATTGTTCTCTGCAAACTTAGATGTGGATACTTTTGTCCTTTTTAATAAGTTGGGTAATTTGATTCCAAGATGGTATTAAATCTTAAATAAGTCTCTTATATTTTCTAAGCTGGCCATACTGCTTAAACTTTTAGGCAATTATATTCCTGGCCCATGCTATTACCATAAGGGTATCCCAAGTCTAAAATTATCAGCAGACTATAGATACAGTAATTTCATTTGGGAATATTGCTTCATTATCACTACAAAAAATATATTATAGATCTCCACCTCTCTAAATTCTTCCAGACTCTAAGGAACTAAACTCTAACTCTAGTCAGCTGTAAAGTTATTTTTCTTTAACACACTACTAATTTCTGTCCAGTATTTCTGATCTCATTTCCTAGTAACAGCTGGCACATGCAAAACTGAGAAGCATGTTTTATTCCCTCTGTGAAGCATAGCCAGCAAGCAATTCATGAGTTTTCCAGATGTTTTTATTATTTTTATTAACAAGAAACTTATTGACTGGCTTGTTGTTTGGTTCTATCTGACAACAAAGGACAGAGCACAAATTCAACAATGAAGAGTCTTGATCTAGCAGCAAAAAAAGCTGACCAAGAGGGACCTACTAACTTGTCTACACTACATCTCAGCAGATTTTTTTCTTCAATGCTTTGTATCATCTCTGAAAAATGCCAGATCTTTTTCTCCACAAAAACCCTTAGAAAGGCATTCAGACATTTATTAAAATTTGTGTGCTCAGAAACCTGCTACATTTGCTGCTCCCCTGAGCACTGAGAAGCAGCAGCAAGGGTCAGCCACGTTCCCTGCTGTTCTGGCTCTGGGGAGCCGCTTACAAGTGGCAGGGAGGAAACCTCAAAAGATCTCAAGATTTCATTTTGGTAAAATACTAGATTTTTTTTCTTTATGGGCAATTATTTTTTGTTCATTTCAGTGGACTGACTTTTTATTCTGTGGATGCTTGACACTTAGAGTGATGTCTGACCACAGCTTAAACATTGCTGTAGAAAAAAAGCAAGTGAAACAAAAGTGGTACAGTACATGAAACCATTCATTTGATCAGGGAAGGCCTTTACCAATACATTCCTGAATCTCTTCCATTCCATTTCACCTAGACTGGGCAACATTACAGATGAATGAACCCTTCAATAAGCTTTTTAATGACAATGGTAGTGCCTTAGTAATTCCTATTTACTGTGTTCTTAAAACGCACCAAGAGAAGGTAAATGAAAAAAGGAAGAGTTCAGAGAAAATGACCCTCTGAGCCTTTTGCCAGGGTACTGACAATGTTCCCACTGAGAAAGATATTCCCACTGAAAAAGATTCAAACCAGTTCTTACAGGTTTTATGTGCTTAAAACAGAAAGGTAGCAAACATTTTTTCATAGTCTGTAATGTCTGCACATAAAATTAAAAAGGCAGCTTAAATGAATTAAGAGAATAGAGCCTGTGAAATGAAAGAAAATAGTTTTAGTAGGAAGACATTATTTAAAACAGATTTGTTTTTCCAATAAAATTCTGACAAATACGTACTTTGCATTTGTAGTGCTATGCCTATGTCAAAATACTATAACCAGGCAATTTTGTTAGAGCTGAATTTACTGGTTTGTACAAAATTCTTGAAAAAAAATTAGCCCGAGTTATACTGCACAGTATATTAATTAATACTAATGAATTATTAAAAGAATTAACTTTCAAGTGTTTTTTGTATAATGCTGTAAAAATATAGGTATGTAATCTTGTTTATAGGCAATGAATGTCCACAGAGCATTGGTGAAATTCTACTCTGGAATGGTTCCACTATCTTCCAAGAAAGTGCATGAAAACAGTGTTTGGATTAGCTCAATTGGGACAAAACCCTTTACTGTTAGCATGGTCATTCGTATGGAAGCTACATTTGGGAATAAGGAAAAGTCCCTTAATTTCCCATATTACTAGCATGTGACCACACATTAAAAAATATCAAAGGCATGTAGTATCATAAGCAAACACTGGTAACTGCACTAACTTCATCAGAAGAATAACCCTTTGAAAAACAAGGATGTTCACAAATGAAAAGTCAGTTACAGCCCAGTAACAGCTACAATTAATCACTGGAAAGATGCCAACAGCCCATATAGCTAGGGAGAAAATGGTGTCACAGAGAATTACCTTTCTTTTGTACATATTCAACTAATTTAGAAGGTTACAAATGGGAGGAAAGTGACAGATAGTTAAGGGTTACATAGCTGTCATTCGTGCCCAGGAAAAAAAGACAAAATGCTCTCACAAATGTATGGGCATGAGCAGAAAGCTTGCACTTCTTCATTTCAACATTTGTGTTACCACATGCTGATATCAGAATATAAGAAAAGCTTATTTGCAAAATACTATTTTCAGCCTTTAGCTAATGATTTTACTAGAAAGACATACCATTAATGACATCTTATCAGCAGGTTAAAACCAGTAACAAAACCCAAAAAGGAAATCATAATATGACAATTATGCCTAGTACACATTTTTAGACAATAGCCATTGTCCACAATTACTTACTGATGGATAAATGAAAATGGTTATAATACTTTGTTCTTACTGGTAGTAACAGGAGTCTGCAAGGGAATAAAACGGTCCTCAATGTCTGAAAAAACTCCAGGCATCCCATGGACATGGAAACCATCTGTGGTGTTTGCTGGTTCCCTTTCCCTTCCAGGTGCAGTGCCAGGTGTCAGTGGCTCTTTGGTTGCTTTCTCTGGGTCAGCATCATCCACGGATTCTACGACTGCCATGATGGTGGCATGATCAGGGAGCACTCACAAAAACCACCACCCATATCATTTCCTGGGCTACAGCAAGCCAGAAAGCACCTTCACCTTCCTCATGCAAAGCACAGAAGGAAGAGAGAAGACACGAAGGCCTCTCCTTCTTCTTCCACACTGTCACTGGCTTCTGAGAGACCCTTAAGCTCCACATCTATGCTCAGCATGTTGGAGCAAGATGCTGGCGGCATATACAGATCCCGGTGACAGATGGAAAGGGGAGACCTTTAGAAGAAGAGACTTTAGCAGCAACAACCTGACCCTGTAACTCAGGGGTGAGTGGCCTCACCTGTGTCAGTCTTGCCTGGCAATACACAGGGGAAGAGAAGTAAGAAACTGATGGCAGAATTTAAGGGATGTAATTCTTCTATGAATGCACTGCCCTCACCACTGGGACACCACTGCCCAGTGATGGTGCTGCTGCTGAGTTGCAGGACCAAGTCAGCTGATTAACCTGCCAGAGCACCTCCACCACACCAGCCAGGGTGCCAAAGCATACCCAGCCTGATCACACTGATGCGCAAGAAAGAAAGATGAGGCTGGGGATTCCAAATCACCAAAGTGCATGTCTTGCAGAACATTTGGGAGATCACCCAAAAACATGCTTCAGCAAAGGTCAGAAACCACCAAGTGCGCCAGCAAGAAGCCCCTTATGCCTCGTTCACAGATCCTACGACAGATTTTTCACTGCAAGTCCACACTAAGAATGAAGATTCCCAAGGATGAGAAAGATAGTGCAAGAAGTCATCTTCAGCAGAGATAATGTCTCATTTCACACCAGACATGAGAAATGAGTATGATCCATTATTCTTACTGGTACCCATCAGAAGAGAGTCATTACCAGTTTTGGTCACACTGGCTGTGGTCCTGTGGAGCACTTCATCTCTGGGCATTTCCGTGGGATTTGTGATGCCTTCAGTGCCCGGTCCTGGTTCATCATCTGAAGGCAGAGGTGTTTGAGTTGTGTCCTCGTGGTGGGCACCCTCAGGAGAGGAAGCAGCTGTTACCACAAGGTGAGGTACCCACTCTCCCTGGGTTATATCTTCTGGAGCCAGAATGTCAGTGGAGGCTGTGACTGTTGTGATGATGGCCAAGTTAACTTCAAAAACATTTTAAAAATGCACCTTACATATTACTCCCTCTTTATTTTTAGTACACTCTACCTTTTTAATTTATTTGCTTATGTAGACTATGCAGTGAGAAGAAAATCAAAACAAACAAAACAAAGCCACAAGAAAAGAATATCCTTTTAAAATGACACCTTCTTTTTGGCTTGTCTCTTCCTTCACTAATATTCAAAATGCAGCCTAAAATATTGGTTTTGAAAATACCTAGTGAACACTGCTTAGAAGTGAGAAAACAGCAATATTATTTTCAGAACGAGTATAAGAATTCCTGTTGTTACACAGGAAACAGATTGGAATGACTTAATTAATAAAATTTGAACTAATTGCAAAATCATACTTGGGTTTTCATATTTGCAACTGACCTTTCAAACCTCATAAAGCTTGAAAACAGTGAACTGGGAAACTTTACAGAATCTCATTCATATTTAGAAAACATGAGCAGATGACAGAGAACACAAGCTTTTTAATCTACAGACTGTATTTATAATCCACATAATTTTTAGTTTTCATAGCTCTCTGTCAAATCCTAAATGCTGAGGATTAAATAATCCATATAAAAACAGATTTTGAGGAAGAAAAGCAAAAGGATAACAGCAAATTTTTCCTTAGTATTTCTTTTCTAGAAAGTGCAGAAAGAAAAGATGCAAGAAGTTCCAAACAACTACAGTGTGATAAAAAAATACCTTATTGTATTAAATAAAAAAAACCAGTATTTTGAATGAAGATAATTTTAAAATGATAATGTGCAGAGTTTGGGAATTTAAGTGAGAACCTTGCATGAACAAACTCCAATAAATTATTTCAAATTTTACAGTATTAAGAGAATATATTGAAATATTAAGACCAGAAATGACCAGACATGAAAAACATTTACACTACCAGCTACCTCCAAAAGCAACTGTTTTCTCAGTTAAAAATATACTTGATCAAAATCAGGGGACATAAGAAACAGGCCACACAGGAAAAATATATCCTTAAAGAGACAGGAATTCTTGTTGGGATATTCACATGCAACAAAATTATAAAAGCATTTGCACTGCAATTTCACAACAAGAATGCACACTTTGAAGATGAGAAAGACAGGGAAAGAAGTCCGTTTCAGAAGAAATAATGTCTCATTTCACACCAGACATGAGAAATGAGTACAATCCATTATTTTTACTGGAACCCATCGGAGGAGGGTCATTACCATCTTTGATCATAGTGGCTGTGGTCCTGTGAAGATCTTCATCCCCAGGGGCATCCGTGAGATTTATGATGCCTTCAGTGCTCATTTCTGGTTCATAATCCCACGGCTGAGGTGGTTGAGTTGGCTCTTTGTGGTGGGTATCATCAGGAGAGGCAACAGCTGCTATCATGGTTTAATAACAGATGGTTTAAACACAGATTATATAATAGCTGTGAATTCCATGTGTGTGCTGCTGTGGCCTTCCCATTACCATCCCATCCAAGCCTCCTGTTCCCCTTAAAGCACTGTTACCCTTTTCTCTCCACAAAAAGGGCAGAGAAGTGAGACCTTGTGTGCATCATCATTGCCCTCTCACAGTTCTGGTCAGACATATCCATTTGCTGTTCTCACCCATTGTTGTACTTAATTAAAAAGACTCCCGAGGGCAGTGGACCCAGGGAAAAACACAGAGGCAGCAGTCAGAAGGATCCCCTGACCTGCATCCCAGGCTACCTACAGAGTCTCAGCTTCCTTGGCACTGTCACTTGCTGTTACAGTGTGTTTCACATTACAGGCACCAGTACTGAAATACTGACAGTCAAGAAGACATGAAGGCCTCTGCTTCTTCCTCCACACTGTCACTGGCTTCTGAGAGACCCTTAGCTCCACATTTAAGGTCAGCGTGTTGGAGCAAGATGTTGGCAAAATACACAGATTCCAGTGGCAGATGGAGAGGGGAGACCTCCAGAAGAAGAGATCACATCATGTTTTTAGAACATTATTTTGATGTTATATATACTATGTTATATGAAAATGCATCATGATGCTGTGTCATGCCAGTTTTATAGATTCCTGCCTTTCATCATTCTATGAATGACACAGAAGGATAAATATTCCAATAAAGTCTATGAAAAGAACACTCTTTTGCCAGGTGTAATATTCACAAATTGAATGGATTAACCTCTTGAGGTAAAAATATATGTAAGTATGGATCTGACTTCATGCTAAAGTCAGTCTGGCAGCACCAAATAATATAACTTACATAATGAGCTGGATGAAATTTCACAGCCATGCTTCACTAAGGAATGAAAAACTCTGTGAGTGGTGTTGGCAAGTCAAAAACAAATGTTTCATATGGAGCTAAAATTTAAATCTTCTGTTTCACCATCATCCAGACAGGGTGCAGAGAAAATTAATAACTCTACAGTTTATGAGATTATTTTAAGAGATCAGTGATTACTCCTGTCTACAAGTTCTTGCAATATCTTTCCAGGAGAGGCCATCTGAGAGACAGAAGTGATGGAACATAGATAACAGATATTATTACTAGTACCTGTAGTGGAAGACTCTCTTTCATGATGGCTCTCTCTGGAAGCAATATCTCTATCCGTTACAGCAGGCTGTGTGGCATAATCCTCTCCCTCATCCCAGCCTGGATACACCAATGGGTCTTGCGCCGAGTCATTCTGTTTGGGCCCATGGCTGGGGACCATAGCTGTTATGATGATGGTGAAGCAATTATGAACTCAGTATATAAAGATCCATTTCTCACATTATTCTCCTCTTCAGTTCTTGTCCCTATGACAGGTCTTGCTCACATGTCTACTACATTTAATGGCAAAGAGAAGTAAAGTAGATTTGCTTCTCATCCTGGTTTATACTTAGAAAAGCTGCCTACTGTCATTAGTAGGACCAACTCCTTCCTCAATCTGAGCATATGCTTTTCAGAATCAAGGTGTCTTACTGTTTTTCAAAAATATTTCTCTGAATCTTGCTGTCAAATTTGTATTGTTGAATATTAAAGCAAAATTCACTGATGCCGAATTCAAAACCTCGAAGACATAAAAAACTGCAAGGATATGATCCATCAGTAAGATTTTAAACATATAAATTGAATGTGTTGACTATATCCAATTTCTTGCCCTCAAAGTTTCACTGTTTCATTAGTTGCAGCATCTCCAGGAAAACAGACAAAGAGGTGTGACAAAAGGTAATGCTAGGTCATGGTTCAGATTTGTGAATGGTGCACACAATAAATAAGACAGCATTCAGCTGGAGAATATCTGATCTTGTAGTTATTTAGAAAAACACTATCCATGTCAACTAACCTGTAGATTTTATTACACAATAATAGCAAAAAAGTACACAAATTGTCTAAAAAGCATAAACCTTCTTAACCCCTTCAACACAATAAAAGGAAGAAAAAAGGCAAATTTGCCACACTGTCTTACAATTCTAATTGCAATTAGGCCAACATGTATTGCTGCAGTAGTGGAGTATAACAGAATATTAGAGACGTGTATTTGATAATCCACAAGAGCAGATGATAACTGTGGTGCATTCACTGTTGGCAGTGCTTAGTACAGCACATCTGTCATTAACTCATAAGTTTGGTATGCTCACAGGAACAAAAATTAAAATACATCAATTTTCAGTTACCACCTTCACAGTATAATTTGATCTTTCATGTTTCAATTTATTCAACCAATGAAAATGAGAACTCTCTTATTCTATATCATGCTTTGTTTTCTTCCCTTCATCACCAGTATCATCTTGCCATAGTTCAAAGGTGGAATGAGTAGACACGCTAGATAATTTTTTCACGATAACTGTGATTAACAAAAACTGGGAAAAAAAAAATCCCAGGTCAAATTATAGCTTGCAACAGGGAAGTGAACACAGTTCCCAAAGGAGAGAAAAATGCAGCACCTTATTTTTTTTCCATTTAAACCTCCTCTGTTTCCTGCAGACAAAACCCTGATAGATAGCTTGTGACTGCATGACACACAACACAAAACATAGGAGACAGTTACAGAATTAACATGTCTTGACATGCAAGAAAAATAGAAGAGAAACATCTGGAAAAAGTCTGAAGCGTAGAGTAATTAAAAAAATAATAATATAACATCAAAATTGCTAAGGTTTGTTCATAGAACCTGTGTTACTACTTCAAAATGCAAAAATGTTAGTAAAACTAAATCTTTAGAGAACCCTGAAAATTTACTAAAATGTGACCTACAATATTACCTGTAGAAGTTTCCTTTCCAAAATAATTTTCACCTGCAGTAGTAAATTCATGTTGTTCAGTATGGCCAGTGGTATTTGCAGGAGTTTGTTCTTGACTGATCTCTCCAGAATGAGCACTGTGTAATAGTGGATGTTGGGTTGGTCCTTGATGTTTTTCATTTTCACTTGTAACTAGTGCTGGTAAGATTGTGATTGAATCAATAACAGTCAAAATACACATCATCATATTTTCATTATCATCATGGTCTACATAACAACCATGTTTGGCTATTGTGTTTTGGCTTTTTCTTGTTGTTGGATTTCATGTGAAATGAAAGATGAAAGAAAACAGAAGTCCTTTGGAAACCCTATCACACAAAAGTATCACCAGGAGCAGCAGAAGATTTACGTACACTAGAAAGGATCCCAATGACCAGTGGAAGATAAAAGATACCCAAGAACCAGAAGAGCTCAATTGAAACAACAGCTAGCATCTCTACTTCATATTTATTAATACAAACTTAACTGCTGAGTTTGTGTATTCTGGGTTTTTAAAGTAAAACACTGATGAACCTTCTCTTTTGAGTTATCTCAATTGCACAATTACAAAGCTGGCCCTAAGGAAATTGTAATTTTTTTCTTGGATTTGGATGAGATTAGATGAATTAAATAAATAGGTTCCTATAAGTAGATAAGCATACTTATTTTGAACTCAATAATAATTAAAGTTCTTGCCAATAAAATTAATTCATTGCTTGCTCTTTAACTTGCTGTTGTTTACACAGCAGAAGATGCAGTCAGAAATCAGCTGAAGTACCACCACCATAAGAGATGCTCTAACGAAGGTTTGGAAAAAATACATCAAGAAAATATACATCTAAGATGAGCGTAAGAACTCAGCTGGAAATATATTTGCCTTGAATATCAAACAATTCCATGAGTGGTATATAAAAGTAAAGCTAAGGTCCTCAATCAGAGCATGCAAAGAATGAGCTGGATGTGTTACATATGTCATAAGTTACCAGAGAGAGAAACTATGCTATTTCCCAAGAGGAGAAAAACTGGAGGAATATTCATCTTCACATTCAGGCAATGAAATATTTGTAAAGACAGCACTCATGTAAATGTAGTTCATTATTTTTAAATTAAACCTAATACATATATATTGTCTTACAAAAAAAGAGGCAATATTAATCAATGTATGAATACAACTGATCTAACAGTATTTCACCACTAAAAGAAAGTTATCACAAAAACAATTTCTGTGTGATTACAAAACCTGTTCTAATGCAAGTTGTATAAATTGCTGTTCAAAACAATCTCAGAACTGGAAAGATACAGAAAAAACAGCTTGACAATGCACTCTGTAAACTTTTGACTACAGAAGGTTTTAGAATTGAATATTTTGGTATCTCAGTTGGCTACTGGCACTAGCACAGGTAGCAAAATGTTCACGTTCATCTGGAGATAATATATTATCCTTCGTAGGACAATTTATGTCTTGAAAACACTAGCTTCCTTTTTTTTTCTTTTGTCTTCAGATTTTACAATAGAATTTTTGAAGTGGAAAAGGGGATTTTTTTTCTCACCAAAAGTTACAGTCTGCTCAGTTTTATTGCACACTACTGGCAGTGCCAATTTTAAAATACCAGAGATGTGAGGAAAAGTGGCAAGAAATTAGATCTATAAGACAGACTTTAAATGACAGATGAATGTTACAGATGCCACCTTTGAGGGCTCTAGTACAAACAGTGTAAAGGATTTACACTGAACTGACAAACTGAGGCTAATGGTATGGGAATTTCAAAGAGCTGCACCCCGAGTGTCATACTTCACTAAATTATATTAGAAATCTGAGCATTATCTGAAATGCTTGATTGCTTTACCCCTGCTAGCAGAGCTAGGATACTGCTCCTCTTCATCTGTAAAGGTGGGGTTCCAATGGTCTTGAGTGGTGATTTCCAGGAGTGTTTCATGTTGTGAGGCCACAGCTGTTGGGACAATGGAGGATTCAATGCTGACTATGCTCTAAATCTACCCTCTGTGTGTGCCATAAAGGTGATGGAAAACAGAACTTCTTGCATAGCCTAGCTGTAGTCTCTTTACTCTTCTTATCAAATCCCTTCACATGACACCAGTTGCTCTTTACTTTGCATTTGACAGATGCAAAGTTTCCCAAGAAAAATGGGAAAAAAAAGGCAGCAGAAGAATAATGTAGAGTGGAAACAATGCAAAACCATTAGAGCAGTTGTATAAATTTAAACTAATGTTTTAACAGTAATGCTGGACCTAATGAATATGGCAGATATCTCAATACATGTAAAACATGCTTGCTAAGTACTCAAGAAGTACTCAAGAAGTACCATGTTAGACTGTCCACAAATGGGCAAAAAAGCTATGGTCAGCAAAAAAATGAGAGCACCTTGACAAGCCAGGAAGCCAGTATTAGTCAAGAAAGTTATAATATTATTAAAAAAATAAAACAGAACTTCTACAAGAGTCTGTGACCAGAGACTGAATACACTTTCACCCATGGATCATGCAGAGACCACTAAGCTGTCAAAGGTATGGAATGCAGAACAGCTGTGGGATGAGTTACCAATGCAGAGTCTCAAAGACAAATAAACACCAAAACTATCCAAAGCATAGGAAGAAATATAAGAAGTCCCAAAGCAAGATGAATTCCTGATTTTGCATTTTCTACAAAAAATGGAAACCACTGCCGGAAAAAAACGCAAATACTGCACTATCTTCAAAAATATAAAAGGCTTATATGAACAGTGGCTGCTGATAAATTAAGAGCACAGACAACAGACACATTAAGATGTTCTTAAATGAAATAAAATTACAGAAATAGAACAGATTATCTTTGTATAAGTAAGAGCATTAGAGTGTAGTCATTAACAGCAACATCTATGCTAAAAAATCCCCAGGGCTGGGGCCATTCCCTGGTCATAAGGCCAAGTAGCATTTTGGCTACTTCACTGATACATGGCATTTACATTTGACCTCCATATCTGGTGTATTTCTGGTTTTCAGACAAAGTTATTTCATCTATGGATGGCTTTTGAATTTAAAAAAGAGTTCTCGGATGATCACTGTGGGACTATTCATGTGAGAAAATAAGGCTATGTATTAAAGCATCTTAGTTATAATACTGGATGGTGCTGAGACATCTGAGGTCACAAAACAAATAAGATGATGTTAGAAGACTGAATGGGAAGTCTGCAGAAGGTAGAAAACATGAGACTGTTTTGTTGACAGTTCCCAAAGGAAAAGGGACTGGACTTGGAGTTTGGCCTTTTGAAATTGTGCCTGAGCGTCTTCCACAGAAAGGAAGTCTGCTATTGAATAGATGTAGGTTATATATAAGATGAACTAGAATTTTTTCAATATTTAAAAAAAAATAATAGAATGAAAGATAAACTTTCTTGTCTTGGAAAATCATGAGTTAATATAAACATTTGAATACACATGAATCTGAGATACTAATTTTAAGCAGTGAAAGAACAGACATTATTTTAATCCTAGGGACCTGAGGTAAATTTCCAGTCACAAAAAAGATATTTCTGAAAAGAAAAGCTGATGAGAAGACCATCCAATATTCACCAAATATATGTGTGACAAAGGAGGAGGAACACCAGGTAGGAAAATCAAGAAAGAAAAAATCTGAAGAGAGCAGAAGTTCCTTACTCGTACTCGGAGCAGTCGCGTCCTTGGCCACACTCCTGCCCCAGCCTGGAAACATTGTGGGGTACATCATCTCCTCAGAAGAGTCTTCATCATCTGAATCAATGCCACTGGAGGTCACATCTGCTGTGATGATGTTAAATCTGCCATGAAGCCCTAACCCACAAGGCCTTCTGCTGGTGGCAGTTCAGCTTTCCTGCCTCCCCTACCCACAGCCTTACAATCACACAGGAGAATTTGCAGCCCTGTGCTTCCCAAGGGCTGCGGCTGCTCCTGGCCTTTTCACTCACGGGCCCTGCTGAAGCTGCCCCTCTAGAACTCCTAGATATATTTTGGGTCCCTCTGCATGCTCACAGCACTGACCATGCCCCATACACTTCTAGCAAGTAGAGCAGAGCACGCTGGCTTGAAAACCATTCCTTCCTCTCCCCTACAAGTCCTTCTCATTGGAACACTCTGCTCCTAAACTGCTACCAAACAGGATGAAGGAATGACCCAGGAACAGGCTTTACATAATGAGTCCCATTCTCATCCCTTTCAGACAGGCAGAATGCCTCCATGGCACATGGGCAGTGTGGACAACTGCTCTATTTCTACCACATGTACATTCCATGAGAGAGAACCCAGGACTTTACTTCTCCTACTTCATGCACAGTGCAATGAACAGCAGTGAGAAATGCCACACATTCATCCCCCGTTCCACTCAGCGTTTGTGCACCTTGCTGCCCTGCTCTCTGCTCATTCAGCCCCTAATCAAAGCAGCACCTCAGCATGGCATTCTTTACCCCTTGTTGCTGGCGTGGGTTCTTGTGTCTTCTCTCCAGGATTCGACCACCACCAGTTGTCTGGGAACGGATTCCACCAAGCTTGGGTGGTGGTTTTCTCCAGGTTGTCATGATGAGGCCTTGGAGCTGTTAGGACATGGCTCATTTAACCAAGATCTTGTGGTTATTTCTTGAGAAGTAACTTTTCCTCCAGCAAAGTCAAGTCCACCAGCACCAGCACCTTGAGCATGCTCATGCCCAGAGATGGATGTGAGAGCAGGGCGAATGTATGAACCCATGGTGTCATTACATTCCTCCAATGCCTAGCCAGATGCAAGCACTTTTGGCAGTCCCAGGGAAGAACAGGTTCCCTTGAGAGCAGCCACCAAAAAGCTCTGTGGGGATTTTCGCCCCTCCGCATTCCATGAGGTTAATGAGTTCCTCACAGGCTCTGACAGCAGGAGAGAGTAGATAGTCCTTGAAATAAAGCCCAGAATGGGGAACATCCACCAAGATGACATAAAATCACATACAAAACATGTAAGAAGTATCCATGCTAGGCAAAAAGGATACCCAGAGATAAGCACACCCAGACAAGCAAACTGGTCTCCTGACAAGCCCCTGTAGCCAATGCTGCCAAGCACCTGAGCTCAGAACTGAGGCCATTCCTCTCAAAAGACACATGCACTCCCCTTGACCTAATGCTAGCTGCTAAATGCACACCAGAAACACCTTTCAGAGTAGGCATCAGTACAGCATGGAGAGATAGGAGCACCTTTACTTGTATCCCATTACCAATGCACAGCCTATTCTCTGAACATGGCTCATCAAATAGCAGGGTACAAAGTCTCAGCATTTAAAGATGGAAAAAGAATTCTGCTTAAAAAAATTACAGGAATCGACAGCCTTTTCATCCACCACACTAGGCAAGCCAACTAGTTGTTGGCAGGCAAATAGAAATAATTATGCCACTTGTAGGGGGTTGGAAATTCCCTCCAAAGTGAAATCAGTCCTTGGCTCCCGAGAAGTCACAAGGAAAATCCACAAGTCAAATGAGAATTGAGACAACAATTCAAGAATCAATAGAAGGTGGCTCTTCTAGCTATGTGGAGCCCAAACTTCCTAAATTGGGCTTTTTTTGTGACATGGGAGATGTGTTTGAAAAAGACCTGATGAGAGCATCCAATTTTCAAACAATATATGTGCATCTAAGGACGAGAAGTATCAGGTAGAAGAGAAAAAAGAACAAAGCAACCAAAGACAGCAGAAGTTCCTTACTCGTACTCGGAGCAGTCTCGTCCTTGGCCACACTCCTGCCCCAGCCTGGAAACATTGTGGGGTACATCGTCTCCTCAGAAGAGTCTTCATCATCTGAATCACTGCCACTGGAGGTCACATCTGCTGTGATGATGTTAAATCTGCCATGAAGCCCTAACCCACAAGGCCTTCTGCTGGTGGCAGTTCAGCTTTCCTGCCTCCCCTACCCACAGCCTTACAATCACACAGGAGAATTTGCAGCCCTGTGCTTCCCAAGGGCTGCGGCTGCTCCTGGCCTTTTCACTCACGGGCCCTGCTGAAGCTGCCCACTAGAACTCCTAGATATATTTTGGGTCCCTCTGCATGCTCACAGCACTGACCATGCCCCATACACTTCTAGCAAGTAGAGCAGAGCACGCTGGCTTGAAAACCATTCCTTCCTCTCCCCTACAAGTCCTTCTCATTGGAACACTCTGCACCTAAACTGCTACCAAACAGGATGAAGGAAAGACCCAGGAACAGGCTTTACATAATGAGTCCCATTCTCATCCCTTTCAGACAGGCAGAATGCCTCCATGGCACATGGGCAGTGTGGACAACTGCTCTATTTCTACCACATGTACATTCCATGAGAGAGAACCCAGGACTTTACTTCTCCTACTTCATGCACAGTGCAATGAACAGCAGTGAGAAATGCCACACATTCATCCCCCGTTCCACTCAGCGTTTGTGCACCTTGCTGCCCTGCTCTCTGCTCATTCAGCCCCTAATCAAAGCAGCACCTCAGCATGGCATTCTTTACCCCTTGTTGCTGGCATGGGTTCTTGCGTCTTCTCTCCAGGATTCGACCACCACCAGTTGTCTGGGAACGGATTCCACCAAGCTTGGGTGGTGGTTTTCTCCAGGTTGTCATGATGAGGCCTTGGAGCTGTTAGGACATGGCCCATTTAACCAAGATCTTGTGGTTATTTCTTGAGAAGTAACTTTTCCTCCAGCAAAGTCAAGTCCACCAGCACCAGCACCTTGAGCATGCTCATGCCCAGAGATGGATGTGAGAGCAGGGCGAATGTATGAACCCATGGTGTCATTACATTCCTCCAATGCCTAGCCAGATTAAAGCACTTTTGGCAGTCCCAGGGAAGAACAGGTTCCCTTGAGAGCAGTCACCAAAAAGCCCTGTTAGGATTTTCGCCCCTCCGCATTCCATGAGGTTAATGAGTTCCTCACAGGCTCTGACAGCAGGAGAGAGTAGATAGTCCTTGAAATAAAGCCCAGAATGGGGAACATCCACCAAGATGACATAAAATCACATACAAAACATGTAAGAAGTATCCATGCTAGACAAAAAGGGTACCCAGAAATAAGCACACCCAGACAAGCAAACTGGTCTCCTGACGAGCCCCTGTAGCCAATGCTGCCAAGCACCTGAGCTCAGAACTGAGGCCATTCCTCTCAAAAGACACATACACTCCCCTTGACCTAATGCTAGCTGCTAAATGCACACCAGAAACACCTTTCAGAGTAGGCATCAGTACAGCATGGAGAGATAGGAGCACCTTTACTTGTATCCCATTACCAATGCACAGCCTATTCTCTGAACATGGCTCATCAAATAGCAGGGTACAAAGTCTCAGCATTTAAAGATGGAAAAAGAATTCTGCTTAAAAAAATTACAGGAATCTACAGCCTTTTCATCCACCACACTAGGCAAGCCAACTAGTTGTTGGCAGTCAAAGAGAAATAATTGTGCCACTTGTAGGGGGTTGGAAATTCCCTCCAAAGTGAAATCAGTCCTTGGCTCCCAAGAAGTCACAAGGAAAATCCACAAGTCAAATGAGAATTGAGACAACAATTCAAGAATCAATAGAAGGTGGCTCTTCTAGCTATGTGGAGCCCAAACTTCCTAAATTGGGCTTTTTTTGTGACATGGGAGATGTTTTTGAAAAAGACCTGATGAGAGCATCCAATTTTCAAACAATATATGTGCATCTAAGGACGAGAAGTATCAGGTAGAAGAGAAAAAAGAACAAAGCAACCAAAGACAGCAGAAGTTCCTTACTCGTACTCGGAGCAATCTCGTCCTTGGCCACACTCTGGCCCCAGCCTGGAAACACTGTGGGGTACATCGTCTCCTCAGAAGAGTCTTCATCATCTGAATCAATGCCACTGGAGGTCACATCTGCTGTGATGATGTTAAATCTGCCATGAAGCCCTAACCCACAAGGCCTTCTGCTGGTGGCAGTTCAGCTTTCCTGCCTCCCCTACCCACAGCCTTACAATCACACAGGAGAATTTGCAGCCCTGTGCTTCCCAAGGGCTGCGGCTGATCCTGGCCTTTTCACTCACGGGCCCTGCTGAAGCTGCCCACTAGAACTCCTAGATATATTTTAGGTCCCTCTGCATGCTCACAGCACTGACCATGCCCCATACACTTCTAGCAAGTAGAGCAGAGCACGCTGGCTTGAAAACCATTCCTTCCTCTCCCCTACAAGTCCTTCTCATTGGAACACTCTGCTCCTAAACTGCTACCAAACAGGATGAAGGAAAGACCCAGGAACAGGCTTTACATAATGAGTCCCATTCTCATCCCTTTCAGACAGGCAGAATGCCTCCATGGCACATGGGCAGTGTGGACAACTGCTCTACCTCTGCCACATGTACATTCCGTGACAGAGAACCCAGGACTTTGTTTCTCCTACTTCATGCACAGTGCAATGAACAGCAGTGAGAAATGCCACACATTCATCCCCCGTTCCACTCAGCGTTTGTGCACCTTGCTGCCCTGCTCTCTGCTCATTCAGCCCCTAATCAAAGCAGCACCTCAGCATGGCATTCTTTACCCCTTGTTGCTGGCGTGGGTTCTTGTGTCTTCTCTCCAGGATTCGACCACCACCAGTTGTCTGGGAACGGATTCCACCAAGCTTGGGTGGTGGTTTTCTCCAGGTTGTCATGATGAGGCCTTGGAGCTGTTAGGACATGGCCCATTTAACCAAGATCTTGTGGTTATTTCTTGAGAAGCAACTTTTCCTCCAGCAAAGTCAAGTCCACCAGCACCAGCACCTTGAGCATGCTCATGCCCAGAGATGGATGTGAGAGCAGGGCGAATGTATGGACCCATGGTGTCATTACATTCCTCCAATGCCTAGCCAGATGCAAGCACTTTTGGCAGTCCCAGGGAAGAACAGGCTCCCTTGAGAGCAGCCACCAAAAAGCCCTTTTGGGCTTTTCGCCCCTCCACATTCCATGAGGTTAATGAGTTCCTCACAGGCTCTGACAGCAGGAGAGAGTAGATAGTCCTTGAAATAAAGCCCAGAATGGGGAACAACCACCAAGACAATGATAATTAAAAAGATGAAAGAAGCATCCACAACACCAAGAACCTGAGCTCAGAACTGAGGCCTTTCCATTCAAAGGGTACATGCACTCCCCTTGTCCTCATGCTGGCAGCTAGTTTTACACCAGAACCACTTTCCAGGTAGGTATTAGTATATCACAGGGAGAGAGGCGTAGCTTTACTCCTATCACATTACCAATCTACCACATTTCCTCAGAACACAGCATATCAAATATTAAGTTCTACAGGTTTGTTATAGATATTTCTGAATGGAAAAATGTTTCTGCTTTGAAAAATTACACGCATCTACAGATTTTTCTTCCACTCTGCATCCAAATTGGTAATGGTATGCAAACAGATATAAATGTGTCTATCACATATGGATGAAAAAAATCAGAGTTACTCTTCAGGTTGATGTAGAACTCTTACTGATTAATGAGCTACATACTCTTCATGTATGTAGCTCATTAATCAGTAAGAGTTCTACATCTGATTCATAGCACACTTATATGTGAATCAAAATTTGCTAATAATAAAGAGTAAAACCTGTTTGGACAAGGAGAAAAAGTCAGTGGTAAAGCGTTGGTGTTGTTATTGATGATCTGGCCCATTCACTTGGTGGAGCACACCACCAGTGATGCCCAAATTCAGAGAAAGAATGAATGTGTATCATCTGAAGGAGCTGTGCAAATTGCTAATTTCAAACCATAGCACAGAATTCTTTATATTAAGCTAGGTATCTTTAAAAAAAACTTTAACTGTACAAATGAATTGTAGTAGAGTGAAGAGCCACCAATTTTGTTTCTCACTTTAACATAGTACAGAATTAGATAGATAGATAGATTTTCAGCCATCTATCTGAAGACATATGACAAATACTTTTCTTTACTTATTTCTTAATTTTCTACTTCCTTGTCTGTGGGATTTTTCCCTGGAAAATTAAATTGTGGCCAGGATATACCACTGAGCCTGCACTGCTACACAAACTAAGTAACAGATATTGGGACATAGCTTTATTCCTTCTTTTTTGGACTGTTCTCCGTGTCACTTTTTCCTGTGCTTCTGTATATTTGATGACTTCTCAGAGAGATGCCCAGCTTACACTTTCCATCTTTCTAAAAGGAGTGCTAGGTTACTAATTCATTTATAATGCAGTAAAATGAAACTAAATCAAACACAGAGTTACACACTTCTGTGTTAAAGTGATGTTGCTGGGTAACAACCAAAGCTATCAGAAAAGCCCAGGAGCACTGCTTTCATAATATTTTTTTTTTTTTCCCTCCAGAGAACCAGTTTATCAATCCTAACCCTGTAAACAAACATGCCAATGCTATCTCTTCTGTGAAACACATTTATCAGTATTGACACATTTTTTCACATTGCTGTATAGTTTCTTTGATCTTTTCAGATCTTAAATATCTCCAGTTTTTCCTCTGTAAAACAGTCTTGCCCATGAGAGAGAGCTGCTAGCAAGAGGAAGGGACATACATATTAAGGACCAATACATTTGATAATCAAGTATTAAAATGAAAACAGAAAGCTTTCCTGTACAGAATCAATACACAGATTTTTGCAGTGGGTACAGAAACAGCAGCACAAGGAAACATTAAGTCACATGTGCACACAAAAGCAAACATATAGAAAGGCAAAATCACCACCAGAGTCAACCAAACTCCCCACTATTACCATGTGGGATTTTCTGAATCCTCCACCTCTTACAGGCAACATTTTGTAACAAAAGCTTTCACTGGAAACAAGCACCAGAAAATTCTCTACTTTTTTTCAAGGTTTGGGGTGAAATCAACCTAATATTTCTTTTTCTATCTACATACTTATAAGGCATTACTAATCCTTTTTTGAGAAAAGATGCTTGGGTTTAATAATTTACGTCTTTTAGCAAAGCTTTTGCTAACTGTAATGCATACGAACATTCTTCCTCTAAATACAGTGATGAGGGCATAATTTCTCCAAGTCACTCAGACCATTTGACCAACTATCAGCAACCAAGAGACAATCAAGCAATATGAATTCCCCTGATGGGGGAAAAAAAGAAAAGAGCCAGTGGGAAGGAACTTTAATTTCTATCAGTTTGATCTTTACTACAACACGCTTCTGTAGATTTCCTCTGTATAATTAAAATGTTCTCCTTTAGGTTCATTTTCTTAGGCAAAGATCTTTATCACTCTAACCATAAGAACTAGTGTGAACATATGTAGGCTATTACCACTTTAAAATGTGGAAGAGGACTTCAAAAGCTTTTTATTTATTGTAGCTGCTGTGCACTACATATTTGATAAAAACCTCACAAGCAGTTTTTCCAACTCAGTAAAGCTATTTAAGGACAAAGAAAAGAAAATGGCTACTGTTCCTTTGGGTCCTCAAAGACTGTGGAGCCAGCACAGTCCCCAGTTTTTACTTAGACATATTGCCAACAGCAAGGCTGAAATTAGTTTTTGCAGTGCACAAATGGTTTGGTAGCTGAAACTATCATATAAAGCACTGCCTTGGTTAGCAAAGGTCATGGTTTTGACACAGTAGATCATTCACAACCACAAACATATTAGAATAACATCACAAATCTACAAAAATATTCTTTTCTACCTCAGAAATAAATTTACTTCAAGTGATAATAGGTTGTACTGATTTGTGATTCCTCATGAAGTGATAAACCAACTGTGGGAAACCCAAAACAGCAATCTTTCTGAGCTCAGGTACAAGCATTGAAGCAAACATACTGTAAATGATTTTGCTTCCCTTGTCTCAGAGACTGAAGTTCATTTCCCACTTAAGCAGTCTAGAAAGTAGTCTATTTCAATGTCTTTCCAATTTTTGAGATGTTGTATGCTTCACCACTTACCAGAATGCCCTTCTGGAAGAAGAAAGCAGTTTTAATGTGATCTATGTGTAATGTAGTTATTATGAAACATAAATCTTACTAGTACTTGCAGGATACTCTCCATCATCTCCTTCATGGAAATCACCAGCCACCGTCCTCAGAGAGATGTCAGGTGATACAGATGTAAATTCATCATCTGTATGGTGATAGATAAATCATTACTGTTTCATAAGCTCAGTTGCAATACAGTACTACAAGTACTTCCGCTATTCTACCCTGCAAGCTTCATTTATTGGTCCAAGAGAGAAGAAAGATTGAGGCCCCACATAAGCTTATCTCACTCACACAGTAAGGATATCATCCAAACCGATCGTTTGAAGAGGAGAATGTATTACAGTGATAATGAACATTCTGGCAATGATCTGTTTGTGTGATACAAGATCTCACTGTATCTGTATGACATGAGGACACGGATTCTAGAGCAGTGAGCAAAGTTATTCATATTCTCCTCTGCTGAGATATATTCTGAGGTTTAGTCCAAAAATCTAGACTATGCATGCAAGCAGAGATGGTAACAGTTGGAACAGCAATCAACAGAAATACACAGCACACACCCTGGGGAATGTGGGGAATGTTTCTGATCCTAGTTCCTTAGCAAGACAGTCTTAGGATTTACCGTTCATGGTGCTAGCTACATGTCAAAACAAGCATAATATGCTATGAGTACACCACCAGTGAAAATGTTATAATCCTAATGCTCTTGCTTTTTATTTTTATTAATCTCAGTATGTATTGAGGAGAGTGATGCAAAATACTGGTATCCTTCACTGGTAATTTATTGGTGATTTGATAAAAAGCCTGTAGTCACACAGTAAGCTTTACTGTACTTAGAGGATGACTTATAACCCTAATGTTAAATGGGAGCAAGTCTTTCAGACCTCTGATAATTTCAGTCACACAAGCAGCATAAAAGATTAAATAAGTAGAAAAGAACATGGCATTTGTATTTGGCAGAGCCCCATGAAATTAGTGTCAGTCTACTGTCCTTACCATAGTCTTTTCCAGGAATTCCATCTCCTCCAGAAGAATGATCTGGCAGCTGTGAGACTGGAGTAGGACTTCCATAATATGAGGGGCTGGACCTGCTGATGGAGGCATCCATGGGAGTTGTCTCATGAGTTGATCCACTACCTGCATTTTCATCATCCACCCCTGAGGTGGAGGACTCTCCACCGGTGTGACGTGTGCCATCCGCGTTGTAGCGGGAGCCATCTGCGTTGTCAATGACTGTGGAAACGGAATTAAACGGAATTCATGTCAAGGAGCTTCAATGCTATAATAAAGAGTAATGCCTGTGGATTAACACCAGTTTGCCCATTTTTGCCCGCCTATCTAATGTAGATAATACATCACTAAAACATGTCTAATGCATATATGCTAATTTGTATATTTTTCACTTTTGTGGGGCCTGACTCGAATCACTTACTTTTATCAAACTGATTGATTTTAACATAATGTATTGGCATTTGTAAAGTCAATCAGAATTTAGAGTTGGAAGAAATAATTTATTATGAGCCTTTTTTCAGCTTCCAGCCGCTTTTCTAACAAACAACTCAAATCAGATGTATGAAGGTTGCAGTCTTAAGCAAATTCCTTTACATCAAAGGGATGTTAGCAGCTCTGAGGCACCAAAAATGTCAAACACCTATATAAAAAACGTTTGGTACCCTGAGATAAACCAAATTCCATAGGCTTTAGAGGAAGACAAGTGACTAGTCACTTTAATTTCTATTGAACATCTCTTAACTTCTTCTTCTTATGTTTGGCTTGGATTTTTTAATATTATTGATTGTTTATATACAATAAGATAGCCAGTTACTAAAAAATGAGCAAGTGCATGTCTTTCTAATCAGTACAGTACCTGTTTCATCCTGATTACTGAGTAAGGAAGTATCTATTTTTACAACTGGCTCACATGTTTTTTCCTCTGTTTCTGTGAATGAAGGAAAATAGAAAACATTAATTTGAAAAAATTGATTAAAAAAATCACATGTATACCTATATCAATTGTACATAATGACAAAACATCAGCTTCAGATGAGGAGGACTGAAAGCAAATTTCCAAACAAATGTTATTCACTGATGTACCACCTTCCCATGTGGAAGTGCCTTCCCAGGCACTTTGAGATTGTTCCATCAGCTAACAACGAGATTTTCCATTTCCATAACCATTCCAGAAAATGTCTGCAATCAATGCCAGTTAAAACAGCCTTATGACACAATTTCAATGCAGTCAGACCCACTGTCATTGTGGCAATGGGAACTCTAATCTTTTTTAGTTGGCAAGACTCTGTCCCCTCCACGGAGGGCTCGGCAGAGGCAGCGTGTGCCCTGTTCTGGTGAGTGCTGCTGGCTCCTGTGTGCTGCAGTGCCCCACTTGGGGCTGGTGTTAGAGCTACCTGCTCATGCTGCTGGTAGGGAACAATACTTGGGAGGAGTTATAAAGATCTGGAGGCAATGGACATCACCACTGTAGTCATCTGTGAACACTCATCTGTGAGTGACAGACAATGGCAACTCACATGATACTACACCAATGCAGAGATTTTTCATTATATCACTACCAAATACAAAATAAAAAAATATCACTGCATTCAAATCATCAATTAACTTTTCCTACACCTTTCTGTAAGAACTCTCTTTTTCTGCTAGGAATGTCACAGTCTACTGAAATTCAAGTTCCTTGAAGTTAGTTTAGATTTTATTTTCAAGTAGTGTGTTCAGCATCTGTCACAGACTATATACACTTCCCTAATAATTTACTATAATATCTCCAAATATTAGAAAGTACAAAACTTTAGATAAAAGTGGTCTGCTGCTGATAGTTGTTGCTGTCCAGCTGCCTCATGTCTAAATGGAGATTTGGCTGAGCAAATACTGAATGAATCTGCAAACAGCAGAGCAGCAGCTGAGTCCATGAGCCTGGGACTGACATCGGAAGCCTTGGAGCTGCTGCAGGTGGCAGCCACTCCCAAAGCACAAAAAACTGCTCTTGGCTGTAAAGCTCATCTCTGCATGAACAGAAGAGCTGAGTGCAACGGCTGACAACAGTTATGTCTTTCAGAATCACTGCTGCAGTGCTTCACTTCACTAAGCCTAATTATCATGAACTTCTCTGGAGCTGCAAAATTTGTCCCAAGGCCAGAAAAGTGATTTAGCTCAAAACACACTGATAACAAAATGGTCATTGCTGACATGACAGATACACTTCTAGAGGTTGACAAAATGTATTTCTTCTAGCTAAAAACCAGGCTATGTTTATTATATAAGCCCTCATTCCAGTACCTTAAATAGGAGATTACATATGTTATTTTTAGTTAATCTGTTCCTAAAGTGCATCGTAAAATCATCTCCTTACCTGTTGCATTGTAGCAGTATGCATCATACCGAGCAGTTGTATTTGCTGAAAGTTTGTAAATGCCAGTGTTATTTGCTGCACAAAGATGATAGGGATTGATCCGTGGGATAACAATATGCCCCACCACGAAACCATACCTGTCAAGAACAGAGGTAAATAAACCATATTACTTACTATAGCAGATGTCACCTCAAGCATTAAGAAGCTAAAAAGAAGCCACTATTTTTGTTCCTTTTCCATTTGAATGCTCCTTTCTCACATGCAGCTACATCAGTCTCCCATAACACAACATAATTTTGTGTTTAATTTCTAGACCTAAACCCATTTAAATTAAATATGTGTCTTATTAACTAGCTACGGTGATCAGTTTCAGATCAAGGGAGTGAAAGTGAGGGATGTCAGTGCACTTTTTGTTCAGTGTGAGTTTGTATTGCCTGACACTAAATTCCCATTCTTTAGGGATTCACAGATTCACATTTTCATTGCTTTGACATAACACACCAAAACATTTCACACGGAAATTTCCAGGACTCAATTTATGGTACCTGAGCAAGTTTAAAGAATGATTGCAATACACATCATTTTCTGCATAAAGTGACGGCCTAGTAAAATATTCAAATGCAAGAATCATTCGTCCACAAATTCTTATTGTATTTTTCAGTTGAACAGTGTGATTATTGTGCACAGAGCTCACATAATTCAGTGAAGACTGTGGTTACATAAGGTACAATACATTATTACTGTTTTGCAATCCTGTAACACCTGATTGATTCCAATATATTTAACTGGAGATGTGACAGAATGGTAACAAAAACTGGGGTATGGTTTGGGTTTTGCTTTACTTCTTGAGAGGAATGATTTATCAGGGAGGAGTAAATGTCACAGCTTTGCAGTTTTTTATCTAGGAACCTCATTTGAGTTTCATGTCTAATGTGCAGGTACTTGCAATTCTGAAACTCTTGTAGGTGGAATTATAAATTTACTTACACTCCCAACTAAGCTTACAATGCTGACACTTTACAAACCATTATTGACCTACTTGTGTTATGTGCTGTTGATTAATCTTATTCACATACATTTGGATGGTTACATGCATGTGATGGTTATATGCAGCATATTTTCCCTCTCCTACTCACATTTAATAAGAGCAAGAGCTTACTGACAATGACTACTTCTAGCACAGGATCAACAAACTAAAGTTATAGGGTGGGAGGGTTGGCCAGAAGGAAGGGAGGAAGAAATCTTATCTACATGGCTTACATGTCCAAATCTGCCCTCTGGTAATTTGTGAATTAGGGAAAATTGTAACATTAATTAAAAACTAAAGCTTTCCCCTGGGGGAAAAAAAAAATCCCTCTTCTTCTTTCAATTGCCTTTATATTTTAGCTTTAGAAAATACTTTCCATAGTATTTCCATAATTGCTTGCATAGAAATCTCTACCCCTACGCATGTTTTAGGATTTGATCTTTAAATACTGTGTAGTGCTGGGCAATTCAGAATGCTGTGTATGTTCATGTACTATTGTCAGAAAAAGAACATGCCTACTGAGTTATGAAGGACTTTCCCCTCAGAGTCAAGAACTGTTTCTAGTCTTTATGTGGTACAAATTTAAATTGCCTTTCCAGTTCTGATGGAAGAATCCTCTAAGTATTCTCTGTTCACATATTCCACCTCTACAATATTTGTGAAATGAATGTGCCAGAACAGGAAATAGTTGCAAGCAGTATTGATGACAGTTCTATTTCTCATGGTACCAGAGTGAAAGTCTTAAAACTATGGAGAAATGTCTACTGATTTTTTCAGTGCCAGTTAGAAGATAAATTCCATTTCTCCATGGTTGCTGTTTAAGTTAGACTTCAATAAAGTTGAAAATCTGCTGCTTTTTATTTAAACTCCATAACGGTGTGCCACCATGAATCTCCTGGGCTGCAGTGATCATACAGTAGTGCAGTTTGAAATCCTGAGAGAAATGGGTGAGTAGAAGAGTAAAGTCAAAACCCTGAACTTTAGGCAAGTAAACTTCCAGGACTTCAAGGAGGTAGTCAATAGGCCCTCCTGGGAAACTGCCCTCAGGGACAAGGATGCAGGACAGAGATGGCAGAGATGGTCTTCAAGGATTCCTTCCATAGAGTGCAAGAGCTCTTGATACCAGTTTAAGAAATCAGGAAAGCAAGCCAAGAGACCAGCATGGCTGTGCTGGGACTAAAGCACAGGGAGGAAATGCACAGGCTGTGGAAGCAGGGTACCAATACCTGCTGGGATAAACGCACGGAGAGCAGCCTGTCCAGAAGAAGCTGGGGGTACAGCTGGATGAGCTGCTGGACACAAGCCAGCAGTGCCTGCTCGCAGCCCAGAGAGCCAAATGCATCCTGGGCTGCCTCTAAAGTGGCGTGGGCAGCAGGTCAGGGGAGGAGATTCCCCCTCTCTGCTCTGTTTTGCTGAGACCCCATCTGAAGTGCTGTGTCCAGCTCTGGGGTCCCCAGCACAAGAAGGACATGGACCTGATGGAGTCCAGTTGAAGTTGATCATGAAGTTGGTCATGAAGTTGATCAGAGGGACAAGGCACCTCTGCTATGAGGAAACACTGAGAAAATTTGGATTGTTCAGCCTCACATATTTTTATATTAGGATTCACTTAATTTTTTTGAATTAAAAGTTTTCTGTAACTTCTAGTCTCTTGGTCTAGTTAATTTTTGAGAAACTGGGGAGTGTGTATCACCCACATTTATTGCCCTATATATCACTAATTACAGCAGGTAATTAGGTCACTTGACAAAGTGGTTTTGAGATTTTTAATAACTACTGTAGCTGTCATCTGAAACATCTCCATTCACAGATTACAAGAATGCACTAATACCATGGCCATTTTTTCACAGGGATGTCAAGACTGACCCCTCACAGTACCACCTGCTGCTTTTTACTGTTCCTTGGCAAGACTGAGTTTCATACACTGCACACACCATCCTCAGCCTTTGACCTCACACTGGGGCCTTACTTTCCACATACTTATCTTACCAATTGTTCAGTGACACGCTAGGATCTGAACATCTTTACAATTAGCTTATTATACTGTCAGTCTTTCGTTACCTTTAGATTTTATCTGTGAGAGGTTATGATTTTTTTTAAAGATAAATCGTAAAAAATTATATGCATCAAGGACTTAATACTGGATGCATAGCAAACATTCACATGCACAAAGATGTTTTGTTCATTACAGAATATAACTTATTTAGCTAATCACAGCATCTACAGTAAGTCAAACCTAATTACTACATTAGTGGTGTCACAATATACTATGTTTTCAAGAGTTTCTTTACCTGCAAGTTTCAAATCCAAGCTCATGAGCTTTCTTCAGCTGCTCTAGTGTTGCCAAGGTGCTGTTGAGAGCTCTGCAGAGTTCAACTGCTTCAGATCGTGTGAGACTGTAGCGGCCATTCTTTTCAACATGAAAAACTCCTCCATATCTGCAACTTACATTGAATTCTGTTATCAAAAGAAAAGAAAAAAAAGTAAAAAATGTAGACCTAATGCTTCATTGAAGACCTGGAAATTATTTATTTTCAAGTGTAATGCTTTGAAAGCAAACCTGCAACAAGTACCAGCTACCAATTCATTCTGAAAAAAACAGTGCCACTTTCAATCACCTTTTTCATACTTTCCCTCTTTGGGCTGAGGCATGAGCCAAATCTCCAGCCTTCCCAAAAATAGCAATACAACCTGATTTTTGGGGTATCTAGGACATTTAACGTACCATTAACACTAAGGTGCAGAAGAAAGGGTTAATAATAATAATATCAATACAAATAAGTATAATCATGTGTGTAGAGAGAAATGGGGAAACAACAGGACACTTCAAAGCAATGTGAATTAATTTTGCTTCTGCCACACCTTTCCCTCAAGAGAAAAAAAGCAGTTGCAACTCTGGACTAGAGTGACAACTGCAAAGCACACTTCATAGGAGTAGCTATTATTCCCAGTGCAAACAGGAGCATGACTCATTTCTATCTTAATTTTAATGGAAGTTCCATGTGCAAGAAAGGGATAAATAGACCAGTCTTCTCCAATATTAAAAGGGTGTGTCTTTACTGTCTATTTGAAATAAAAAGATGACATATAAAAAATGTTTTTCCAAAAGACACAAAAAGCAATTCATGCACGTTTACATTGACACATAAATAATGAGCAACTTTCTAATGTGATTTTTGCTTGACAATCTATTTTGTTCTATAACACAAATGTGAAAGCAAATTATAGTATTCAAGGTATGCACTCTTTCTTTAATTACTTTAGTGCATTCATAAATTGATGTTATTCTGTGTACAGGGTATCTACTCATTGTAATCCTCAAGGAACTTTCCTTTCCATAGCTCACAGGAAACTCTCAAGGAGATAAAACACCAGATTGGATGCAGGCTGGGTGATGCATGAGAGGACAACCACTATTCACAGCACAGGAGTTCAACAGTATTGATGCTTGCTTGTCCAAAGGAGCTCAAAAGCTATGCATCCAATCTTGAATACTTGCACCATAGGCAACAGAAATAATAATTATTGTTACTTGGATAGCCTTCCCACAAAACAAACGGAAAAAAAACTCTTCTCCAACCATTCCACCTTCTCCAGTATATTGGCTGACAAAAATATTTAATTTAGAAAAAATCAATTTGCACTTCAGAGCTGTTTTACAGTCTCACTGAATACAGTTCTTAGTATTTTTAATATTTTCATTATCACATATAATTTAAAAAAATATGGCCTGTCTATCACTCCTTGACTACTGCTAGGATGGAGCTGCTCTCACATCTGCCATGCAAGTGACTTATACTTTGGCTCCAAATATTTCATATTCAAAGTCTGACATTGTCTTGGAAGTCATCCAGGCAGTAGCTGTATTAAGCATAAATGACCTAGACAAGAAAAAGTTTTCTCTTTAGTTTTCGCTTCTTGATTCTCTCTTCCTAAAACATACTCTGTGAGGCCCAGGACTTAAATAAGGGGATAAGATCACAAAGTTGTATTTGATTACTTTAAAGTAACAAGCTCAGTGATTCTGGAGATAAATTTTCTTGGATCATCAACAGCTTTTCTGATAATTTTAGGCTAATTTCTAAAAAGCTTTTCACTGTGAAAGCAGATGTCACATACATTTCCTTTGGGTTCCATTTGATTGAAGTTAATCCTGGATTCATTGAATTATAAAGTGAAGTTCACTTTTGTTTAGAGTGAGTTGATTTAGCGATCATCAAACCTCAGCCCATTCCTGGTTTTAAACACTACATTTATGCTCTATTATCACTCTGAGATTCACTCATAGTCAGAATTCCACTTAGAGAGCCAATTACTTAGACTTCTGCTGTTTAAAAAGCAGGCGTATTTACACAGATAGGCTTAATGGAGCTACACATGGGCTCCATGCCCAAACATGTGTACATTGTCCATGGAAATGCTCAGCCTGAGCAGACCCTGCACACCAGGACAGGGCTGGGAGGTACTAGGCTGACTGCATGGGTGCTGCCCAGCTGCACTGCATGTACGCACAGCAGCAAAGCCAAAGCACTCAGGAAGCCTTGCTTGTGCAGTGTGAGAGATCACATGGGTGTCCAGGAAACCCCAGGCAAAAATGTGGCAATCCAGCTCTCAAAAATGGGTTTAAGGCCATCCAATTCGTTGGCACTGTGCCCTAAAGTAATGCTGAGACAGCATCTTTGTTTTCTTTGATGGTATCTTCTACGCCTACTATTCCAAAAGTACCACTGCTGCAGCAGAGACACTCTGCTCATGAAGAGCTGAGTACAGAAAAAGGACCCAAACAGTACCCAAAACTCACATGGAGTCTAAGCAAATTGTGTAAATTCAGCATCTACTCTTTGAAGGCAGTAATTGCCACATTTTAAAAATTACAAAATACAAACCCAGAGCTATCAGGGAACGCAGCATTTTTACTGTATAGTCTCAGATTTTAACATTCACACAATGGGGAACAATGGGGAACCTTAACTGAATTAACTGAAAAAAATTCTGATCACACCAATAAATACTATATCAAAAACAAATTATGGGATCTAAACTAATACCTTAAATCTTTTTTTCCCATGCTGAGGCTTACAGAGTAATTTTGAAGTAAGTGAGAAACATGACTGTCAAATTTAAATCAAAAAATGTATTTCACCTTTTCCCATAGGGCAGGAAGGTCAAATCTATTAATTTTATGTTGATGCTACTTAGCTGGCTTTAACATAGTTATGCAAAAGATGGATTTTTATTCTGTTCCAAGAGCCAGGGAAATGTAAAACTCATTCTGCATGACAAATATTGCTGATCCTTTTAACATTTTTGAAGCTTCAAAGGGGCTGACTCAGAGTGGACTCACAATGAAATCACCAGCAGCACGCAAACTTTCCCTCCTTCCTCCCCCCCATCCCCCCACCCCCCCCAAGCTGTCTGGCTTTGAGGCCTGACAGGACACAATCCTTCCTATCTTCCTTCATTCACATGATTTGCTACAGCTGTTTAATAATAGCCCTTGAAGCAGGCAAACAGTACAAAATATATTTGAATTGTCATAATCCATAATCTCACCCAGACCATGAGATTGGGTGACACAAACCAAAGTGCCTGTGCTGAGCATTATGAGCATGGAAAACATAAACTTCCACATAGGCCATTTTCCCCCATCTTTGCTGGGATTTCTGGTGCCTTCTCTCAAGCAGCTGCATGCAAACCTTTCTCTGCTATCCTCATTCACTTATCTAAACCAGGCTCAATTAATACTTGTCAGCCAAAATCACTAAATTTGATTCCCCAGACAATTTGGTAGCTAGAGCCCACTGGTGGGGTGGAATTGCCTCACATAGTCTAAAGAGCATTGTCCTGTCAGAGAAGTGTGAGTTACACCCTGATAATTAATAGGAGAGGCTTGTTAGAAACTGTCACTGTAAGAAACCAGGTGCGATTTCCATTTCCACCCTGATTCTGCAACCCTTATGTCTAATGAGTAACACTGACTCATGCTAACTTTTCCCACTGGAATTAATTTTCCATTAAGATTTTTGGTGTACTGTATGGATGTCTCATGCACTACTCCCCAATTTTCACTGTTTTCAACACACCACCTGGAGGTTTCATTCTCAAGGTGGACGTTGTCTTTTATTTGAGGGAAAAAAAAAAAAAAGGCAGCAGTTCTTTTAGCAACTGCAGAGATACATCAAAGCAAACCAAGTGGAAGATTTGCGAGCACCCTGCCCACTTGAGCGAAAGCAAGTGTAAGACTTGTACGTGTTAACAGACTTCTTGGTAAAACCGCACGCTGAATTGCATGGCAACCAGGAAATGTTAGGGGGATGTTTTGGTGGGGATTTTCCTTTTCAGTTTGTGGTTTAAGATGATTGATAGTTCACCAGGATGTGCTAAACTGGGGCTGACAACAGGGACAGAACTAGAGGTTTGACAGTGCATATAGTTTTAATTCTCTTTGTTTTAATAGCTATAGGATTTACATTTACTGTTAGAACTTGGTTCTATATTTATTAAGTTGATTTCTAGCTCTAGGCAGATATATATGGGTAATTGTTTCCTTATAATCACAGATTACTGAATTTTGTACTGACACTTCTGAACAGGAACAACCACCAGCTTAGCACTGATACTTACATTATAAATATTATCACCTGCTTTAAATGCTTGCTAGTAATGAAGTAGCAAAAAGTAACATACTGGAAACAGATTAAAATATATTTAAAAGAAAATCCTAGTCATTACAATTCCTCTTCAGGCAAATCTATGAATTGGGCCATATGAGTCCTGAAATCTGAGGAGGTCTGAACAAGCCAGATCTTGTTTCTCAGTTCCGACCTATCTCTAGTTATGCCTGGTTTTCTAATTGTTTCTCAAGAAAATTACATCATGGCCAAATAAGAATGCATATTTTATTTCTGAGTTCAGGAAATGGCCTCTGAATACAAAATTTCACATAGGATGAATTCATAAAACATTTCAGGATCCAAAACATTCTGTCAATGTATATATTACGTAAGTCTGATTACTGCCATTTTGACATCTGCTAGAACTTAAAATGTACAAAAACTATCATCCAGTGATTATCTAATAGACTACAACACACATGGGCCTGGAAGGCATTATTTGCTGAGTATTCTACCTTTTTTTCAGTCTATTAGTAAAAAAACTTCACTCAAGTAACTTGCAGCCTGGGCAACTGCAACAGGATACACAGAGGCTTTTACCTTTATGTGAGAAGTTGGACTAAAGCCCAAGTCAGTGATGAAAACCACTGGATAGCTGTTTGCTAGGTTATGTAAAATGATTCATTAATCCCAGCCACAGTCACTAATAGACACGTGTCGACATCATTAAAACACACCTATACTTGAATCCCTCAGGGCTTGATGAGGAAAGGAAAACTGTGCTGGGAAAATAGGACTCAAAACTGGGATGACTACACACTGATCAAAATTCAGAAATCAAAT